TTCATCACCCTCAGCTATGCAGACGAGGTGATAGGCATGACAAAGGTCTAGCTTGGTGTAGAGACGAGCGGAATGCGTGGAATTGAGGAGGTCGGAAATGAGGGGCAAAGGGTAACGGTCTTTTTTAGAGATTTTATTAAGTCCACGATAATCTACACAGAGTCTAAGTTCACCGGTTTTCTTCTTGATAAACAATACCAGGGCTCTGTGCGGAGAGCGGGAAGGAGTGATGAAACCATTATGGACGTTATCATCAATAAACTCGCATAAGGCTTTTAGTTCGGATTCAGAAAGGGAATAGATGGGTCCGAGTGGAGGGGTGGAGCCTTCCTCAATATTGATCTTGAGGTCATAAGGGCAATGCTCAGGGAGCTTTTCAGAAAGGGAATCACTGAATACATCAGCAAATTCATGGTACTCTGGTGGGACATCGGATAAGTTAGCGGGAGCCACGGAGGTCGCCTTGCCATTAACACTAGGCATAGAAGGCTGCAATGTGAACTGCTGAGCCCCTTCTTCTGCACAAGCTCAGACAAAAGCGGCAGCTGATATAATAGATATCTTGGGGGCAGCCGAAGCACCAAAGGAAGGAATGGTAGGGTAGGAATAGATAGGTTCATAAGGCGGCGGTGATGTGCTCGGTAACGGGCAGCATGCAAATGAAACAAGCATCTAGATCGTCAATCTAGATACTAAATCACACACACACACACACAATCACCAATGTATATAAGTTCGAGGGTGAGTACGATAGAAGCACTCATGATGTACTTAGATTTAGATAATCTAGTGGGGTTTTGCCTGAAAACAACTTCAATTCTTCTTTCGATGTGTTTTACACAAAGTACACTAGTCCGCGATAGCGGGGTTTTATGAACTTGTTTTGTAAGGTATAGTCAAGCAAGTTATGCTCGTTTTGACGTCGTCTAGAAGAACTTCTAGTGGACACTTCAAATAATCAAACAACCAAAGACTCCGAGGTCTACAAAGAGTGCAAAATCACTCTACAAAGAATGCTCAGGTTCTGACTTCAAGTACAAGACTTGCAAAGAGTACACAGACTCTGGAGTTCCTTGAACTCAATGATTGTTCGAACTTAAAGCGTTCTAGGGCTTATTTTACTTCAACTAGATGAGGTCTTTTGATTTAAAGTCGACTCAGCACGTCTAGATCGCTAATCTCGGAGAGAGAGAACATGAGGCCTTTGTCCGTGGAGCAGTTCAATTAACTAGCAAGGTGCAAACACGGGGACGGCTCTACTTCCTACTTAACTCTTCTAGATTACTGTAGTTGCCCTTATGGGTTGACTTTGGTAACTTAATTCACTTCAGTCGAGGATATGCAATAAAAATTAGTGATTGATTAGGTAGCTATACAGGCTACTAGCACAAACGCGGGGGGAATGCTTTCCTGCCATTATGCATCTAGTCGCTGCTAATTTATATGATTCGTGTTTTAGGTATAGGAGCCCGTATCTACAGTAATTATGGTATGAGCTTTGGAATTAATACAAACGGTGAGTCACTATCCTACAAGTATCGCGCCATTCTGTAGTTTCTATTCAGTTCGATGCAACTGTGCCGGGTTATTCTGTCGCCGAGGAGTGCCCTACTAGTCTGTGGGTGCTCCTTCTTCCGTCTGCAAGGCCTGCCATGTGCCGTATGTATTGAATACTGTGGTATGCGCAGGATCTCGAGGATGTAACCACCGATCGCGATCGACTGCAGGTCCGAGATTGTATTCTGTTGATCACTGTGCGATCAAGGTCAGTCATCTCGGTACCCAACGCGGCTATTCATTCTTCCAAGGTTATTCCTTTCCTAGCCTGAGTTGATCTCGAAAGCTGATCTGTTTCTCGACTTAGCAATTTTTCCTGACAGGTTCTTTCTACTTGTCGAGGCGATGAGGCATCTAGTTCGTTCCATTCTTCAACTTCTTGGTTTTTATACTCCATACAGACGAGTCCCCGAGATTTGACTGTAATAGTCTTGTTTAGGTAGGGCTTAGCTTGGCGTGTTGATGGCTGGTAGAATTGACTCTTCGAGATGTCATTTCTAAGTCCATTCTGTACTGCCGTGCTTTCATTCTTTATGTAGTATTTAGCTACCAGCGCGAAGCCTCCACTGTAGCCCTCTGTACCGCTTGTAGATTGCATAAACTGATGTAAAATCGCAAAATCTACGGGTAGCCTGATACCAGGCATATCAGCGGAGCCCGTTGGGATCTCAATTTTGCAGTTAAAGATGGGGATTGGGATGGTTGGATTGGACTGGAAGAGTCCGAGTGGACTGGCACATGTGTGTCGGCAGCCACGGAAGCGCTTGATGAAGAAACAACCGATAATGGTGAACGGAAAGTAATACTGTGCTTTACCCAGTCAATCGACGGATTGTAGCGGGAGAGCCAGTTGTATCCCAGAACGACATTACAAGATGAATCTAGACGAGTGACATAGAAGTCAATAGGAAGGATGTCTCCGGAAGGGAAATGGATTGGAAGGGAAATGGATTGGAAGGGAAATGGATTGGGAGATGTGAGATCCGACGGAGCCGTCGAGAAGCTGAAGTTGGACAGGTGGGATAGATTTGGTAAGGAGGTTGTGATCCTCAACATACTTCGAATCAACAAAGCAGTGGCTAGAGCCAGAATCAACGAGTGCAAGAAAACGAAGGATAGTAGAAATGGGTGAACCGTCGGACTCCGATCCGGAGCTGACTTCAGATGAGAGAGAGACAGTTAGGGAATGATTGGAAAGAGCAGCAGCGTTGAGGGTTACAATCTCCAGTACACTGTGACAGTCAACACAACCCTGTCCTAGTGCGGAGGATACAGGGTTGCTCTCTAGTTTTCTGATTCCGATGGAACCGTTTCAATAGAGGCAGTGGACTCGGGAGTAGGGGCAGGAGTAGCTGCGGCTGCATGACCCCGAGCGGAGGCCACAGCTTTGTGCTTGTTGCAATCTTCGGTCTTGTGCTTACCTCCGCAGAACATGCAGAGGTTATTCTTCCGACGGCGGTCCTTTTCTTCCTGAGTAAGACGGCCATCTTTGCCTAGCTTGTCAGCATAGGGCTTAGGGTTGGAAGAGGAAGAGTTGTTGGGGGAAGATGAAGATGATCCCGTGGAGCCTGAGTGGGAGGACTTTTGGCTTGCGGAGTTGGAGTTGGGGGACGAAGAGTTAGAACCCTTCGCCTTGTTGCTGTTGCTGGAAGAGGAAGATGGGTTACTGCGATTTTCTCGGGAGATTTCGGCTTTCCGAGTCCAGTAGCGAGCATCGAGCTCTTGAGCGAGATTCCGCATATCACGGAGATTATTGGGTTTCCCATGGTGGGCCATATCATCCTTGATGCGAGAGCAAAGGCCACGGTAGAAGGCATGATGAAGGGAGTTGTCACCGTAGCCAATAATGGCAGCATACTGATTGAATTTGACAATATACTTCATGATGCAGTCTCCGTCACGCATCTGAAGATTTTTAAGCTCATCTTCGGCATCACCGACAGCGTCAAAGGGGCCGAAGTTGGTGCAGAGTTCTGAAAGGAAAGCAGTATAGGAATATGCCCAAGCAGGGGGGTTGCGGTGATTAGGGTGGAGGATATCCGGTTCGAACCAGTCAAGGGCGACACCGGAAAGGAAGGAGATAGCATAGTTGACTTTTGCTGTATCCGATCGGAAGGCGTCGGGATGGTCGTTGAAGTTCAACTGGAGGGAGACGATGAAGGCTTTAAGTTTTCGGGAGTCCAAACCGTCAAAGGTATCTGGTTCCTTGACCTTGGTGTGTACCGCACATTGTCGATTGCCATTGACAGCATCAGAGATGCCATGGAGGACATTCATGAGTTGAATGAGGATCTGGGCGTCATTATTGGGAGGATTAGGATTGTTACCAGAATTGTTGTTAGGTCCTCCTCCAGGACCGCCGGGACCACCGGGGCCTCCGGGGCCACCAGAATTGGGTAGGCCACCGCCAGGGTTTCCTGATGGGTTTCCGTGGCCATTCATTAGCATGTGAGGGGGAAATTCCTCATCTTCTGAACCTTGGTCATCGTCATCGCGACCTGGGATGTCATCGAACAGAGAGGTAGTTGGGTTCCGCGGTGAGTCGCTTTGATACTCGCCCCAGCCATTGGATTCTGATCGCTGGGCTAGGAAGGGGTTAGGCGATCTGTTAGCATCGGATTGGCGAGCAGTGAAGCCACTGTGAAGGTAGGTTTCCCTACGGGATTGTTGGCGAGGGGCGGAATCCGATCCGAAGAGAAGGGGACCCTCTTTTGAAGCAGAGGCAGGGATATCATCCATGGTGTAGGTTCGGTTGTTGACCATGGAGTTGCGGCTGGTTTCTGGAGGAACAGTGAAAGTAGAAGACATGGTTAGGAAGAAAATTTCGACTCAAGGGTTTGAGTTCAAATATACTGTTAGGATCGTGCCAATAGGATTGCGGCAGTAAGTGCACATAGCAGAATGCCGTGGGATGCGTCAGGTGTAGGCGAAGCTATTAGCAACGTCACCCCTGAGCCGAAGCCCTAAGATGGATACGGACGGAAGTCCGTGGAGTGGCAGAGACGAGGTAAAAGATAAGTCCAACAGATCGGAGTTCCGCGGACTGGAGAACGAGAGTTAGACTTAGAGTCAGAGAGAGAGAGATTGGGCTGAACCAAGTTGATATTCGAACTGAGTATCTACAGTGTAATTCTAAGGCTTATATACTAGTTAGGAGTCCGATCTAGTTCCTACTCGGAGTGGTCTACATTCTAGGGTTGTCGGAGGATGTATTCTACCGGTTGGTAGCCGATGGGGTCTGATGACATGTTTGCTACCAATGTCAGGCTATTGATAAATTGTAATGGTGAAGTGAAATATAAAAAGGAATATGAAATGGAATATGAAATAGAAACTGGAAATTGGGATCCATAGGATTCCGGGCTGTGGTTTGTTGGATTGAGTGGAAGTTGGGTTTCCATCGGCATGCTCGTTACACCCTCTATCAACTTCTCAGCTTTCATATGAGCAGTCACAGTCGCCTTGCTGCATTCATTCGTTATGACAGGACCAAATACCGGAAATTGTCAGAACTCATCACCTCCATTGCCTACTCTTTGGGCATGTTCGATCAGCACATAGGCACTGCCATCGCTAAAGCTTTGACTTCATCCCATGCTGCAGTTAGAATGCCGGCATCCGAATCATGTACCCAGTTTCAACTCCTCCTGCAGGAACCATTGGAGATGACTTGGGATTTACAAGATGAAGGTCCTTTGGTTGTCATGATTGATGGTCTAGATGAAAGTGATGTGTCGAATGATCTGCTGGAAGTGCTTGCGGATGGATTTGGGCCTGCACTACCATTCATGTGGCTCATTGTCTCTAGTCGACCTGAGGAAAATATTTCTCACATCTTCAAGGACCGCCGGCATCATGTCCATCCCTTTCCTTTAGATACCTCTTCTGAAGAGGTGAAACACGACATATGGTACTTTATCCAGCAGAAGTTTGATGGTATCAAAGACAAACATTTCTTGGGCAAGTATTATGAGCCAGATGTAGTCACTTGGCTGGCTGAGCAGGTGAGTGGGCTGTTCATATGGGCAGCCACAGTCTGTTCATTCTTGTGTGATTTCCCCAGTCTCCATAGGCTCAAGACAGTACTTGAAACTACAATTCCAGCAGATGCAATGGAGGCTCTGACCATACTATATCAAACCGCACTGGATACCATCATCTTGGAAGTATATGGAACAAAGGAAGATGTTTGACGATGCATTCTTGCAGTGTTGGGTGCCTTGATTGTTCGTAAAGGTGACATGACAGTACCTATCCTTGCTGAGCTTGCTCTACAAGAAGGTGACCCTTCAGCACAGCTCATCACTGACAAATTAGGAAGTGTAGTAGCACAAGAGAGATCTGGGAACCTGGTGCTTATACACAAATCTTTCAATGACTTTCTCCAGGACCATGGCAGATGCGGGGATCGATGGTTTATTGATGTCAAGGAGCATGAAAAAGAGCTTGCTCAGTGATGTATGCTGTCTCTGGTGACATTTTCAGAAAATTAGACACCATCTCATGCTCATGCCATTGAAGAAGATCAGGTTCAGCGGCCTGCTCATTCCTCTAGAAACTCCCACAATCCAAGGAAGAACATGGCTCTATACCATGTGGTACCATCCCACATCAGAGACTATGCCCTGAATGTTCTAGAATGGCATATTGATGCCTTGCTTGAGCTTGGGATGAATGCTTTCTATTGCTTCTTTCAGCATTATTTCTTGTCCTCACTCAAAATCTTTTATGCATGCTCAAGCAATCGGTCTAAAGATCTCAATCTTGTTTACAAGGCACTGCTAAAAGCAATTTCCAGAGTCAATGTAAGCTGTTCATGGTCTACATGATGACATACATGACCTCATAGTTGCTTCCATCTAGGCTGAAGTTACAGACCAAAACCTTCACACATATGTCTATCATGCCTTCACATTCTGGGAGTGTACTACCTATGACTTCCTGAATAGGACAGGTCAAGACAACAATCCTGAAAAGTTGGTGTATGACACTGCAATGACCTTATCACCTTCTACAAACATTATTTGCAGAGATCGGGGGAGAAGCAGCAGGGTTCACACCATTTTTGATAAAGAGCATCTGCTAGCTCTTATACCTCATAGCACAGTGGAGCATGGGTCTCACTACTGTGAGGGTTTGTCTATTTTTCGAGGCCCTCAATAGATTCAATCTGAGCACTTACCTCTCTTTCGAATCTGATCCTCTCTTCGTCCTCTTTTTTTCGTATCCCACAGAGCTGTTCTAGCCCAGTCTAGAGTATCTGTTCTGTTCCATATTAATACAGGACAGATAGCAGAACAATCCCTTCCATCAGTGCTTCAGTGTTTCCCCAATGTGCTACTACTGGCCTTTGACTCCACTATAACTTCCTACCAAGCAACTGATCCTAGTGTTCAGATCGTTAGGTTCATGCATTTGGAAAAGCATGAGAATGTGGGGTTCAAATTCACTGATAGTTCATGATATGAAGTCATTGACAGGCGAAGCAATGACCCTCCTGATTTTTCGGATTGCGACAGGTTCATCTCCATCCTCAATACTCAGAACTCTCACTGTGAGAATTACCTGTTTCTTGGGTGGAACCATCACATTGTAGTTCAATATGCACATGGATTATTCTTTGTTCATGGGGATTCAGGCACTATACATAAAGTCGAGCTAGGCACTCAGGCTGGTTGCAAGAAATGGATCATGCTAGATGGCTGGGGAAATAGTGACCGTGCAGATAACAAACATACGTTCACTGTCACGGATGATGGATCTAGGTTACTAGGGCTAGCTACCAACTCAGAGGAAACCCCAGGCAAATTCTTACTACGAGAGTGGGAAACATCCACTGGTACTCTACTCTCTACATATGGCAGGTTTCAGACTTTGTCATCAATAACACCACTGACTATTTGGGATACAGAATTACTGTTAGACCCTTTCATCTCAATTGAGGCCATCCAAATTTCACCTGATGGCTCGAAGGTCACCCTCGGTAGTTCAAAGTTTGTATTCAAGTCGGCATTCATAATGCCAACACCATCCAGAAGGGATATCAATACCACAGACCTCAAAACAGTCAGAGAAGTGAAATGCTTGACGTGGTTTCCTGATAGCGATCGAATTGCCTATCTTCGAAGGCAATGTGAGCATCAACGCTGTCACAATTGTTGTGATCTTGTTGTTCAGCGCCTTACGAGTGGACAGAGTACTATGATTAACCGTTGGTATGGGCATTCTGTATACAGTATCTTGGTCACTGCCGATGGGTCCAGGGTGATTACTCAGGACAACAAGTCATTCAGAACATGGGACGTTTCGGATTTATAGCCTATTCGTCTGTACTGTACTATACGCTTCACTCTCCCCTTTCATTCCAATATCGTTGACCATCAACCTTCAAAATTGAGACAAGCACTACGAAATACGTACGTAGCAAGGTGCGCCAAGTTCACAGGTTCGACTGAACACTGTCAGTATTAAACGTTGAGTGCATGCTGAAGCTAAGCTGTCCGACCGCTTGCCTCAGAACTTCAAGTAGACACAGAATACTCACTCATACTCTGACTTCTGCTCCTTCTGGTGCTCCAATTTTCGACGCTTAACGGAGCGAAGGTGACGACAGCGCTGGAGACAGATAGAATTAATGAGACGCTGGATCTTCGGTGCCTTGGTGTAAGGCTTCGCGTTCTCCTTCCCGCTCTTCGCCTCCTGACGGATGACGTACTTTCAAACATCATCCTTCCTGGACAAGTTGAACATCTTGCGGATGTTCGTTACTCGCTTGGGGAGAATGGTGTCAGTGAGGCCGGGGATTTCTGTTTTCACATTAATGCAAGTAGAAAATGAAGAGAAAGTGTACGCACCAGCTTCTCCCTGCTTCACGACGACTAAGTTCAACACAGCACCCACGAACGGATTTTTCGCTTCGTCTAACCCTTCCGGCGAGTGACCGTCAGACAAGAACAGACGGACACGGCAGGGGAGAAGCACACCCTGCTTGTCGTTTCCTCCAGTAATCCAGAAGACGAATCCCTTGAGCTCTTCAGGAACACCTCAACCTAAGGAGTCGGGGTGCTATACATGCTTGATTTTAAATTCGTGGTCCGACCGCGAAGTACTTATCACTAGAAAGAAGTCGGCGGTTCAAGGGAGTGGGGGTGTGAAGAAGATTCGTTCAGCACGAAGCAAAAAGCTTCACAGCAGACGCCATCCCACGCTGAGGAGGACGTATGTTGCGATCCCTCCCGCAGGGAATCGAACCCAGCGAGGGGAAGCGACGAGACCGCTTCTCCGATAAGCCATTAGAGAGTTAATGGGTATCCTACAACGGATCGTCTAACAACCGACCTCGAAGAAGAGAAAGCGGGACGGAGACTGAGACTGCCACCATGGAAGGTTGCGATTTCGAAGAAGAGTGTCAAGGATGGAGCGGGGAGAAAAGGAGAACGAGGTTCGCTGAGTTAGCTCATAAGTTAGCTGGCTGTGATATGGAAAAAGTAATGAAATGTACTCTTCCTGGGCTGCATAATAATATTTCACGATGTATGGGCCCGAACCAATTCTTCCCCAAGGTAGGGGGCAAGAATTTGTGATATTGGGTACTCGTCGTGTCGACGCTGAAGGCATACAAAAAATAACTGGACTTTAAAATGGGACGTCGAGCCAGAAAGTGGAACTGAAGAAAGAATTCACCTTATTATAAATAAAAATAATGCACAACACACGCCCTCCCTTCTTAAGGAAGGCGCATGTTGTGATCTCTCTTGCTGGGATTCGAACCCAGCCCGTGAAGCGAATGCCACGCGCCGCCGATATGCCAGAGAGCTGACAGCACTGGCATTAAGGCGTCGTTTATGTAAACGGATATTCGAGCAAACTCAGGGACTTTGTGTTCTATGCCCCGGGGGGTGCAGTCGAAACTATATGGAAGAGTGATGACGCGTCGAAAGGAGGATAGGAATAGCCATCGAAAAGGTAGTCCATAACGTCGCTCGGTTTCAAAAGCGAGAGTTTGCTGGTACAGTGAAGAGGAAGCGGCATCTCCACAGAGATCGCGGATAGAACTGCCACCGGTGATGCAGATTCGAGCGTGTCCAGGAATGTCGTCGATGCCAACTGATAGTCTTGCACGGCCAGCAGGACATAGGGAAGGAGAGAAACAGCGATGCGACATCGCATGTCCCGAAGACTTGGACGCGCACGGATCTCTGGCTTTGCGTAAGACGCGTACATTGCCTGAGTGAGGGAACATGGTGATCAGGAATAATGGCAATCCGTGGCGTCTGAAACTTGGTGGAGCTTTTAATGTTACGGAATCCAGGATACGGGCTGGTTCCATGGGCCACTCTGGGTGCTGGTCATCGCTTGATCAAGTCCAAAAAAGCAAACCCGATAGACGGCGCTTTTCAGCCCAAAGGATGACAACGCAGGTCCCAAAAATACCGTGGACATCAGTCATGGCTACCGTGGGGTTCCTCTTGTTCCTCCTGCTTCTCGCTCTTTGAATGCTGTATGCGGATGCACGGGTGGATATCAAGTTTGAGGAGATTGTAAACTTGCGAGAAGTCAGAGGAAAGATCGTGGTGTATTGATATAGCCACGCACGTACAGCCGCTGGTAAAACATCAGGCATCTCACAGACAGCTTATACAAGAAGCTGCGCTGGTCAATACAGTTGTATGCTGAACGTGACATATAGGCGGGCGAGTTGGGTGGGTGTTAGGCACCGAACCCTGGGAGAGCTGGGAGTGGGCCATCAACGAGATGTTCATCTTGAATCGCAGAAAAATTGATGGTCTGCGTCCACGCGTCAATCAAACGAGGATGAAAGGGTGCCAAACTCGACGCACGGTAGTACATGCTTTGGGATGTCGTTCGGAGGGGCAACGAAGAATGAGTGTACACGTATAAGTCGCGAGTACTAACGTCGTGAGATAATGGGGGCGTTGAGACGGCCGAGCAATGGAGAGCATACAGAGGTCGCGGATAGTAAGTACGCTGGTACCGGTGTACGGTCCGACGTCCGAAGTCCGAAGTGCCAACCGTGGGAACAGCTCTTCTCACTTCGACCACGATTTCTTGCGATCCCTCCCATTTAGATACGGGCCTCGTCGACATAAACCTCCTTGCCATTCCCTTGGAATACAGATTGCGTGGAGCTTTCGACGAGCATTACTGATTCTGCCGACATATGGAAGAGCAGTTCGAATAGCAAGACGGTCGGTTCCCTCCCGGGACACTACTCAGTACTCAGTCGTTGATATTGGCATCAGCCAGCATTTAAGAGTACAGGCTATGTTTAATAGACGACTGAAACTCCAGCGTTGCACGGATACCCAAGTCACCTTTGAGTTTCAACGACCGTTTAAAGAGCAAGTGCCATGATGCTGGGTAATCATGGCTCTGTCGCAGGTAGATGACTCCGGAGGGATGGATTTAGTGCGTGTCATAGGTTCACCAATTTTTAGCACGCTCCTTGCACTGTCGGCTCAGCTCAGCCTTATCCGCATCCGCGGACCCGCCGAAGGCTCTTCACGTGGAGTTCTGCTCTCAAGCTACCATCTTTTATATCGACCAGCAAAGTCACAACGACGCCACGACATGCGCTGATGCCATGGCTCATATCTTCCGCAACCGATATGAATGAGCACCTCATGTCCATTGTGAGCGCGTACGTCGTTGGTCTTACTAGCATTTTTCATTGACCTGTTGTTAGGTTCTGCTCTCCTTAGTGTTCTTCCTGTTAGCCTTGGTCTTCGTCTTCTTGGTCGCCTTATCATATCTGATGGCAGCAGCCTGCATGTTTGATTCTGGGATTTTGATGTCATCTCATCATTTTCGACCCATGATTGGTGCCATGTACGGTCACTCAGAACGTTGGACGTTTCGGATTCATGGCATATTCGTCTGTATTTTATCAGTGTATACATCTATGTATGCTTCGCTATTTGCCCCACAATTCTATAATCATTACGCACCAACCTGTTCAAATTTGATACAAGTATTACGAAACAACCGGTACAGAGGCATGCGCCAAATTTACAAGTTCGATTGAACGTTGTTGAAGGTTAAACGTTAAGCGCTAAGCGCTAAGCATTGATATTGAGGGCCAGCTGGGGCCAGGGGCTCGATCCTATTCTCTGAACAAAAAACGAATCAAGAGATGTGCTTATTTTCAGTGAATATCAAACTGAACTCAGACGCGACGACAACGATTGCAGTCATTCACCATATGGGGCGTACAGATAATAGCATAACATAGATACACGGTTACACCCAGGATCGCAGCGCCAAAGCTCTGATGGTATTGAAAAAGTAGTCGCCGAAGTTTAAGTAGTGGTCGCCCTACGTAACGTATAAGTAAGTACACATGGAAACAAACGAGACAAGGTAAAAAAAACGAACATATGGTGTGGTGCTTTAATGGCAGCGACCTGGGACTTCTTTTCGGAGATGCGCTTGGCAATGAGAACAATAAGAAAGCGATTAGCCAGCGAGAAAGTTGAAGTAGAAACAAAATACTCACGCATACCTGGACTTCTGCTCCTTCTGGTGCTCCAATTTTCTGCGCTTGATAGAGTGGAGGTGATGGTGGCGCCAGAGACGGATGAGAGTAACAAGACGCCGGATCCTGAGAGTTTTCGTATAAGGCTTCACGTTCTTTCTCCTCCCAGTCTTAGCTTCACCTCCCATCGTCCGACGAATAACGTACTTGAGAACATCATCCACCATGGACTAATTGAACATGTTTGTTGCTGGCTTGGGACTGAGGTACTTGGGGAAGAATGGTATCAGTGAGGCCAGGGATTTCTGAATTCGCGTCAGTTGAAGTAGACAATGAAAGGAAAAGTGTACGCATCAGCCTCTTCTGCTTCAAGATAACCAAACTCAACACGACGATCTATGCATCCACGGATAGACTTTTGCTTCCTCTCACCCGTCCAGCGAGTATGACAGCATGAGTTGCCTTCAGAAACCAAGAGACAGATACAGTAGGGGAGGAGCACAAGCACTTCATCGAGAAATCCTGCTTGTTGCTTTCTCCAGTAATCTGGAAGACGTATCTCTTGAGCTCGTCAAGCACACTTCGACCTAAGGGATTGGGGCTCCTATTGACATAGACGTGCTTGATTTTTAAATGAACAGTCTGACGGCTGAGTATCAGGAAGAAAGAAAGTGGTGGTTCGCTGGAGAGGTTGTGGGGACCGGATAACTCCGGGCTTCCTTCCTCCTCACTTCGACGTGCTGGTCTCGTTGCTCTTTGCTTTCTCCGGCATTCTGTTGCCTCAGCTCTTACTACTCTAATAACGATACTGTGCTTCTAATAACATGCTTGTAGCCTCCTTTACTGCCCCCGCAGAGCAAAGATCCCGTTCTCGCCATTCTTTCAGACTGGTCGTTGATGCAATGTCCCGCGGCTTCCTGGTGATGAGCCTATACGGTACGCATTATCGGAAATCCTGAAAATTCCAGGAAATCAAGCTCAACGATACTCGTCTTGCCCTTTAGCGAGCTCATGGTCACCCGCCCTGGCAGTGTCAAGGTTTATGTTGCACGATGCGATGGTCAACCTCAAAAGTCACGATATTTAGTCGGCTTTCATTCATTCAGCGTACTCGTACCAGTGGCGGTATATGGCTATCATCTTGCAAGGATCATCCTCGCCACAGTGTCCGAGTCGTTGGGACGAGCCAGTATCGTGCCTTACGCTTCGTACGGCTTCCACGATTCCGCATTACATCTGCCGTTTAGGCGTTTCCCGCTTCTACTCTTTATTAACGACCTTGGAGAAGTGCTGCGGGAGGATGTGGAGATTGACTCTCGTCGCCAACTTGAAGGAGTCGGACTCCTCTCTTTATTTCGACTACGTGCAACCTTCTTTTTGAGATGTGTTGCCTAGATGTACATCTGGGCAAAGACAAAGGAGAAAATTCTGCAGCGACAAGATTTGGCCAAGAAAGCGATATGGAAAAAGTGAGTACAGTTCACGATGACCGCGTACCTGACAATTGATCCAGATACAGATAATATCTCAGTGGTATCTTTAACATGACTCGCACACCCCTCCGTTCTTGAATGAGGTATGTGCCATTTACTCTATCCTGAAAATACGCAAGATGATTTTTTTTTTTGGCAGTGATGACCAACTGACGTCCTCTAAGCACCGCGGCATAGCATTATGTTTCGTCTTCATAGCACCTTGTCCGCGTAGTAATCGAACAACGACGAAGGACTCCTTTCTTGTGATCGTCTATGTTTACACTGCAAAATCGAATCCCTTGATTGGCATCTGTCTAATCTTGACTGGCAACACGATATTAATTTCTTTCCGTGGGTTATTCCATGATCAAGCTAGATTACCCGGCATTGTAGCTTACTCAAGTCACTCACAAAACTCAATAACAGCCATGGGAGATCGTGGGTAGAGACACGTTGACTGTGGGAAGAGAATTCTTTGCCGGTGATAACGATCCCCGATAGCTTGCACCCATCAGTTAGCGCCTGCAGTCAACGACGAATGCTCCCTCTCCCTTCAAGACCTCTCAGGTGCTTCCCCACTGTCCATACATGGAGCCCCTCGATGCCCCTCGACTTGACCTTGCCCGCGACCGTTTCGAATGGGTAAGTATGCATCTTAGTTGAAATCTGATTGGGCGTTAATCATCAGTTTCCATATCCATAGACTTGGGCCTTGATGCTTTACCGCTTTACCTTCAAACTGCTGTGTTTAACGTTCGCGAGGAAAACTAAAAGGTACTGCCCCCAACAGCAGATCGCCTGGAATAACTGGATTCTGTAGAGTTCGGGGTAAGAATCTATGTATCCTTGTCCGGTGCTGCGTTCTGATTCAGCGAGTGCTACAGCTCCCTTCATCTCGCTATTTCCCTTTTTTTGCGAAACTACATCTACGGAGCATCGAATCATGACAATGACGTATCATGTGGTTTTCTTTTTCTCGGCAGTAACACGGTGGCGGTCACAGCATATAGTACAGCATCTTTTCAAGTTTGGATCGAAGCGATTGGAATGCTGTAAGACACGCGTCCAATGTGTGGTACATATATACAACATCTCCTCCACTGTACTTCCATCATCGAGTGTATGGGCATTAAGATGGACAAACGGTGAGCCCCCTTCATGACTCAGATTTGTTTTCGCTGATAAATGATGGTAGATATCGCTTTCGCCGGATCAAAGGTACAGTTGCTTCTACTTTCACGTTCGCTGTCTTTTCAATAAGCGCCCTTATGACCTAGCTATCGAACTACTCAACCTACCTCCGGAATGGGATAAACGGACGTACTATCTCAAGATTTTTGCGGGAGAAGACGGCAAAAAGACGAATACATTCAAGGTGAAGAAGAAAGAGCGTGGGACACCTTTGATACCCAAGTGGATGATCGATCTTGATCTGTAAGGGCGCCGACTTATCACTCGACTCATAGCTCATTGCATATCTAGGAGCCATACCAATGAATCTGAGAGGTTTCAGGTGGAAGTATACTGCCGCCGGGGCAAGGGAGAGTATCAATGCCTCGGCATGTGTGGAGCATCGATCGGGGATGTTTTAATTGGTGAAACCGACAGTGAGTATCTGTAATCTGCACTGTCAGCGTCTGAAAATTTTCCTGCCAGTTATTGTAATGTCCATTAATAGCAATTCTTCCTGCCCCAACGTCGTTTTGAAGATCTTCCGAGAAGGTGCCACCGACTATTCTTCGATCGCAGGATCGGCAGGTGAGGACCAAGACAGCGACATGTCGACCGCAACCCAGAATGGTTTTCCCGAAAGTCAGGATACCTCAGAATTGTCGGGTTCGCAACTCGTGGCAACTTCTGCGACGTCAGTGGAAGATCATTGCGCAACTGCAGGAAGAGTCGTCAAGGAAACTGCAAGGCCTGTAGAGCCCTCTGAGTGGATTTCCAAATTGATCGATGGAATGGATACTGTAAAAAGCATTATTGAAGCGTTCAAAGATGTGAGCAAGTTCCTTCCGTGGTCAAATTCTAGGTTCTAATTGAATTCTGTCAGCTACATCCTGCTGCCTCGATTGCATGTGGCATCATTTTTTCTTGTATCAATGTAAGCACCAGCCTTGTTGGAAGCAGAAGACTAGCTGACTATGCCTTTTCGGATAGGTCTTGAAAAAACAGACGGAACGAGATCTAACTGTACTTGAGCTGTACGAAGCTATGATCACGACTTACAAGGAGGCGAGGGACGACCGCATGCTATGGCAGCAAGAGCGGTTGAGGCCGATCTATATATCGCTGTTCCAGATCACGAACGAGTGCGGGATGTTCATCAAGAGATATACGAACAAAAACAGCTTCAGTGCGTCCATCATTCATTTTCAAAATTGCAGTATCTTAAGATGATATTAGAACGCTTCTTTTCCATAGACACATCACAGAAAGCAAAAGAATTTATTCAAGGGTTTGCAAAATTGCGGGAGCAGTTGGATTCGGGTGTAGCGAAGGACATGCTTATCGTGACACTAGGTGTCAGAGTCCGCGTTGATAAATTCGGTACATCTCTTCGATCCGTTCACAAATGCACTCTAAACCCAGTTTGAGTAGATATACGAATGTCGCTTCAGGAACTTAAACCCGGAAAAGAGTTTGGTCCAAAATCAGTGTGTATCCCCGGTACACGCGTGGAAACAATCAATACCTTGTTCTCATGGATCGCAGAATGCGATGGCTGCATTCTTTGGTGTAGCGGTCTGGCGGGGACAGGCAAAAGCTCGGTTGTCGGCACCCTCCGTGACCTTCTCTGCTTTCACATGAGCAGTCGCAGTCGCCTTGCTGCATTCATTCGTTATGACAGGACTGAATACTGGGACACGTCGGAACTCATCACATCCATTGCCTACTCTATGGGCATGTTCGATCAACGCATAGGCAATGCCATTGCTAAAGCTTTGACTGCATCCCGTGCGGCGGTTAAAATGGCAGCATCCGAATCACGCACCCAGTTTCGACTCCTTCTGCAGGAGCCATTGCAGAAGATTCAGGAATTACAAGATGAAGGGCCTTTGGTTGTCATCATTGATGGTCTTGATGAAAGTGATGTTTCAGAAGAGTTGCTGGAAGTGCTTGCGGATGGGTTTGGACCAAAACTGCCATTCATGCGGCTCATTGTGTCCAGTCGTCCCGAAGAAAAGATTTCTCGTGTTTTCAAGAACTGCCAGCATGTCTGTCATTATCCTTTGGATACATCCTCAGTTGAGGTGCAACATGACATACGGTACTTTATCCAGCAAAGGTTTGGCAGCATCAAAGACAAACATTTCTTGGGCATGTACAATGAACCCGATGTTGTCACTCGACTGGCTGAGCGGGCGAGCGGGCTGTTCATATGGGCAGCCACAGTCTGTTCATTCTTGTGCAATTTCCCCAGTCACCGGAGACTCGAGGCATTACTCGAAACAACAATTCCAACAGATGCAATTGGGGCTCTGACAACACTATATCGAACCGCGCTGAATACCATTGTGCCGGAAGTATCCGGGACAGACGAAGATGTCCGACGATGTATTCATGCAGTACTAGGGGCCCTAATTGTTCGCAAAGGAAACATGACGGTACCTATGCTTCCTGAGCTTGTTCTGCGAGAAGGAGACCCTCCAGCACAGCTCATCGTTGACAAATTAGGAAGTGTGGTGCAGGAGCACATCAATTTGTCACACCACTCTCAGAGGACCCTTGAACTTATACACAAATCATTCGATGATTTTCTTCAGGATCATGGCAGATGCGGGGATCGATGGTTTATCGATGTCAAGGAGCATGAAAAAAAGCTTGCTCGGCGATGTATGCTGTCCTTGGCGGAGTTCTCGGAAAATTGGACACTGGCACCCGGTGCTCATGCCATTGAAGAAGATCAGGTTCAGCCTGTGCATTCCTCTGGCAACCCCAGCAATCCAAGGGAGAACGTGGCTCTATACCATGTGGTACCATCTCACATCAGAGACTATGCTCTGAATGTTGTAGAATGGCATATCGATACCTTGCTTGAGCTTGGGATGAACACTTACCATCGCTTCTTTGAGCATTATTTCCTGTCCTCGCTCAAAGTCTCTTATGCATGCTCAAGCAATTGGCCTAAGGATCTCTATTACGATTTCGTGCTCTATCTTATCTTATTGGCTCTCTCGTAATCTCGCTATGCTAAAACTCCGGACTTGATCGCATTCATCCATGAGGGTTCAGTACGTTTAACGCACCGTTGCAGACACCTGTAGTATATTTAGCACGACCCAAACTGTATTTAAGTAGCTCGACTGCAGGTCTTACACCTCAGTCTCGAACTAAAGTTTATTCACCCGATAACTTAGTCTGAACTCACTCTCGCTCCACTAAGCGATAGCTCCCTGCATGCAAACCTGCGAGCAACACAAAGCGCCTGACCGAAGTGCAAGTCATGCTTAGTTGTTTAATCTTGTTTGTGTAATCGGTCGCTAACAATTAGTTCGAGACTTTCTTACTCTTCAACAACAACCACGTTGTCGAACAGTAACGAATGAACCCCGTTGAACAATATCTCACCGACCTTTTCGGACTACAAGGCTTTATTGCCATAGCCTATCTCGCATTCCTATATGGATACAAACACCGATGAAACCAGGAGCCAGTCTCCGAAGAAACTATCCCCGTCAAAGCCCCCAACCAGGAGGCTAGACGACCGAACACACCCCCTCCAAACTACATCGACGAAAGACCAGACCAGACCATCCATTTCATCTTCATCACAGATGACGAGTGGATCACAGAAGACTCCGACTCAAGCGAGTCCGACGAGTCCGACCCCGAGGTGGAAGGATGGCCCACACAAAGAGGCCCAATTGTTGAAGAAGAAGAAGAGCGAGGAATCTACGAAAGGGGGGTGGACCAGCGTGTTCTCTCTCCCATTACCAAGGAAGAAAGTGAAGGGGAAAGCGAAGGAAATGACCCCTGGGACGCCCCTTCTCCCACCTCCACAGAGAACTCAGCCGCCAACCCTGGATATGATTCAGACGGACAACGCCTCTATCAACGAGGGCTTAGATACCATTTGGGAGAAAGAAGAACGGCTGAAGATGGAACTGGAAGCAGTTCAGATGAGGAAAACAGCTATATAGAGGAGGACGACGATAGCGACGAGCTCTCAGGGCCACGCAACAATTGGTCCCCTCCAAGGCTGGACTCCAGGGGAGAAACCTGGGGCAACTACTATGCCCGCGACAACTCATCAGATGACGAAGGAAGCTACCTCAACCTCATCACCCGCCCGAACACCCCAATCATCGTCAACGATAGGGCCGGGGAAGCCACTACCGAGCTCGACCAATGCGAGCCCACATACGACACCGACGCCAGCTGCGATGTATGCCGACAAACACAGGACTATGCCGACACATGGCTCATGTACGAAGGCATCGAAGCCCCTTCCTCCGTCATCCCCTACGCAATCTACCCCCTCGCACCAGAACACCCCCACGCGGCCCCCATCCCCTTTGTCGCACCCTGGGTATGGGATAGACCCCGAAGACCAGACTTCGACCAGGTCATTCTCAGGGTCAATGAGTGGGCCCGAATCATTCGAAACTGGAACAGAATCGTCACAGGAAGCACGGAGCCTTTTGAGCGAGTCCGACTAATCAGACTTAGAAGAAGGAGAAATTTACGAGAACCCTGAAATAGGGCGGACTTCGATCTACAGCAGCAGCATAGGGTCAGAGAATATGGAGACGAGGACATTATCCTGGAGTTCATGGAAGGATCTAGCTCGGGAGCCTACTGAGGCCGAGCTGGAGAATATGACATATTTAGAAATGCTTCACTGGATCGAGAAGAAACTACCACGAGAACTCTCATGGAATGGATCTCCTCAGGGAAGATACTTCCAAAACAACTGAACCAATCAAATCGGTGGGCAGGTACTATACCGAGAAACCATCTTCCATACGAATATTCTATGGAATCAAGTGCACCCGGACGACTACACGGACCCCGGAGAACGGTATGAAGTACCAACTCCATCAGAAACGTTGAGTGGGGAAACGGTGGACTTAAGCCACCTGTCCATCCTCAAGAGGACCGGATACGTCGACCCTAGCCGACTATTCGCAGCGGCAGGAACACCAGGAAGTGCGGGTGCAGCAGCAGCTGCAGCCGCAGCAATCCCCGTGGCTCCAGCCCCTGCACCGCAAGGACCCCTGTCCCCACATCACAACCCCGAACTACGATCACTCCCACGACCCACGGCAATCCCTATCCCCGTGGATCCCGTACAACCCCTGAACACGCCACTACCATTCATAGTTGGGGTGGCCAACACGAACCCATGGGGACAGGTGAAACCGCAACTCGCGGAACCACCCGAAAAGTTCAAAGGGGAATCTAGCGACGTGGACCGATTCCTCAACCAATGTGAAGACTACTTTAATGTATTTCCGCAGCAATTCACAATGAACGCACATGGACAAAGCCCGAACCGGGTAGTATTCTGCACCTTCCGACTCGCGGATAAAGCCCTGCATTGGTGGAATCATGCGAGGGATGAATACTACGACGAAACATGCGGCTATTTGCGGTATCCAGCGTGGCAGACGTTCAGACAGATCATCGAAGACCAATTCAGAACGGATGCGGAGATAGAACTCAAGCTACAGGAGTTCAAGCGAATCCGACAAAACACCTACAAGTCGGCCAAAGAGTTCTTCCAAGACTTCGAACGTCTAGCCAAAGAATCTGGAAAACGCCATAACGAGGAATACATGATCGAGATCCTCAAACCGGCCATCCGGAAAAACGTAAAGACAGCCATACACACCACTGGCACTGCCCTACCACGAACATACGCCGAATGGAAGTTCAGAGTGGAGCAGATGGACTACAACTACCGAGTGGGCCTGGCAGAAGACGCGGGCAGAAACCAAGGGACGCAGGGACAGCAGAACAAGGGAACGGGAAAAGCCGGTAGTTCTGGAAATTCCCAAGGAGACAAAAAGACGAGCATGGGGACCACGTACGGGGGGCAAGGACAACCGATGGAGATAGACAGACTATGGAAGGAAGGACGATGCTTCCGCTGCGGTCACAAAGGCCATCGGAAACAAGACAACAAATGCCCGAAAGACGAAAGTACGTGGCTCGTCAAACATCAACCCAAGTTCTCGAGGGCCCAAATACATGCAATGTATCAACAGGTAGTGAAGGATGAAGAAGCGGAGGCATCAACGTCGAAGATCGAGGAGGTAAAAGACGAGCCGGCGGCATAAGCGACAAATGCGCGTCGGCTAAGGACTTAATTTCATTCAGTGGTGTGTCACAGAAACCCGCAGGTCGGACTAATGTACCACATGTAGTATCTCGAGGCAATGATCAAATCATCACGCAGTCACAAAATGAAATTAACAAGTCGCATAAAAGCAACGGTGTACAGGGGATTTCCACCGTGCTCGAAGAAGAACCCCACTCAAGATCCTTGGCCACCGGTGCGAAAGCACAAGCGGCTAACGCTGCACAAGGCGGCGGGACACACGGGATCAAGGTCAACATCGCTCCGTGGAGGGTAGGTACTGGCACAGAAAACGGAGGGAGAGCGGCCGAGCCAGTAGTGGGCGGGGGCGCTTCCAGGCGGGAGAGGAACGATGCAGGGCCTCGCCCGAAGGCGGAACGTACGCACCTGCCCTATGCAGCCAACTACCCCGACACGACGGAGCCGCAAGAGGGAACGCGAATCCCCATCAAGAAACCCGCTACCCCGCAAAAAACAGTCCAGATGCTTGGGGACCCCAATCCTTCCTATCAGGTACACCTACCTCCTACGTCACTAACACATAATGGCACCAGGGGCCCGTGTTCCCCGGTGGGCGGGTTGGTGGGACCATTATGTGCAACCTCTATTTCCAATAAAAATACCGTTTCACTTGAAGAGATACCCGATGAGGAAGACGACTATAGTTATCAACAAAGCCTCAAAACACGAGGGGAAGACCCAGTGATTCACACCGAGGAGTACCCAGAAGACTACAAAGTAACGAAGCTGGAAGAGGAATATTACGACGACAAGTGGGACAGGGGGTGGCTTAAACCGCATAGTGCCGAATGGGTAAGAAGAAAAATGAGACAGGAAAAAACCATGGAAGGGAAGCTTGCTACCCTTCACATGTGGGTACACCCGAGGTGACTCATAGAAGTGGATGAGGACCTAGTCCTGGATCTCGTCGGTTCCCCGACAGAAACATACAGACAAAGGGAGCAATGCTTGCAAAATATGGAGGACTTACACATTCCTCCCCAGTACATCCGAGGCGGCAAAGGAAGGAGCGTTAACATTCGAGTACAACTCGAAACCCTGGACACCAGCCAGGTGCAAGCTGTAGACGCTCTAGTTGACAGCAGGTGTACGGGGAGCTGCATAAACCGATCATTTGTACAAGAACATCAACTGAACACGGTGAAGTTACCAAAAACACAAGCGGTTTACAATGCGGACGGTAGCTGAAACAAAGGAGGAGACATCACAGAGGTAGTAGAACTCCGCATGACCATTGGGGATCACCATGAAAAGATCGACTTAGCCGTCGTAGACTTAGGGAACGTACCCTTGTTCCTAGGACACGACTGGCTTAAAAGACACAACCCCATCATCGACTGGAAAACCGAAGCTGTAATGCTAGCCAGATGTGCTTGCCGAAAAATACCATTCTCCCTTCCCGACGAGGACCCAGAACAGAACTGGGGAAACGAAGTAGAAGAAGGGGATACGATACTCGTGATAGACTTCGAAGAAGCCTTTCATGTACGAGCAATGGGGAGCAAAGCAAACGACCTGGCAGTGAAGGCAAACAAAGAAAAGAAGGAGAAAACCTTCGAAGAAATCGTGCCAGAAGCCTATCGGGAGTTCCGAGATGTATTCGCAAAAGAAAACTTCGATGAATTACCCCCGAGGAAGCCGTGGGACCATGCAATCGAGCTGATACCCAATGCCAATGCCAGTCTAGATTGCAAGGTATATCCCCTCAACCCGACGGAGCAGGAAGAATTGGACAAATTCCTAGATGAAAATCTGGAATCAGGAAGGATACGCCCTTCCAAATCCCCCATGGCCTCGCCGTTCTTTTTTGTCAAAAAGAAGGATGGCAAGCTCCGCCCAGTACAAGACTATCGAAAATTGAACGAGATAACCATCAAAAATCGATATCCCTTGCCCCTAATAGGAGAACTGATGGATCAACTCAAAGATGCCAAGTACTTCACCAAGCTTGATGTAAGATGGGGATACAATAACGTTCGGATAAAACAAGGAGACGAGTGGAAAGCGGCATTTCGAACCAACCGAGGGTTGTTCGAACCCTTGGTAATGTTCTTCGGACTCACCAACTCACCCGCCACGTTCCAATGGATGATGAACGACTTGTTCAAGGAACAGATCGCGCAAGGAGATGTCACCGTATACCTAGATGACATCCTAATCTGCACCAAAGACCAAGACAGACATCGCGCCGTGGTCCAAGAGGTGCTAACTATCCTTCGAGCCAATAACCTATTCTTAAAAGCGGAAAAATGCGAATTCGAGGTATTAGAAACCGAATACCTCGGAGTCATCATCAGTCAATCAAGCATTCGCATGGACCCCGTAAAGGTCAAAGGGATCATGGAATGGCCCCAACCTACCAAAAAATGGGAGCTACAGTCATTTTTAGGATTCACCAATTTCTACCGACGGTTCATCCACGACTATAGCAAGCACGTACGACCCCTGACTCAACTTATGGGGAAAATGGAATGGCAATGGGGAAAGGCCCAAGACACGGCCTTCAAAGAAATCAAGTGAAAACTGGCTGAAGAAGTGGTATTGGCCATACCGAACCAAACCGGGAAGTACCGAGTGGAGGCAGATGCCAGTGAAGGGGCCGTAGGAGCAGTATTATCCCAACAACAAGAAGAGAAGTGGAGGCCAGTAGCGTTCTTGTCAAAAGCGTTAACCGTAACCGAACGCAACTACGAAATCTACGACAAAGAACTTCTAGCCATCATGCTAGCCCTAGAAGACTGGAGGCATTATCTGATGGGCGCTCATCAGGAGTTTGAGGTCTGGATGGACCATCAAAACCTGCAATATTTCCGAAAACCCCAGAAGCTAAACCGACGACACGCACGGTGGGTAATGGAGTTGGCAGAATACCACTTCACGTTACACCACAAACCAGGAATGGCAAATAGAAAGGCGGACCTGTTATCCAGGAGGGCGGACCATGACCAAGGAGGAGACGACAATAAGGAAGTGATAATGCTGAAACCAGAGATGTTCCAGGCCTTAATCATGCCAGGGGAAGAAGAAATTCACAAACGAATCAGAACGGCGCTGCGAGACACTACCAGGTGGGACAAAGGGATCGAAGCATCCACTCACCATCTGAGAGGAATAACCCAGGAGGATGGGTTAATGTACTATGACGGGCGACTTTACATTCCTCGAGATGCCAAGCTACGAGGGGAACTAATCGCCATACACCATGACCACATCATGGCCGGCCATCCAGGCATCGAAAAGACTAGGGATGTGCACCGTACCGTTACGGATACAGCTGTAAGGGTCATGGACACCTACGGATACGGTCTGTCCATAGCCATACGGGAGGGACAGCACTAGCATCCATCACGGTACGTATGGGCTAAAATACGGTCGTAACGGTCGTATTACGGGTAACAGTATGATCTAAAATACCTCTTATACTATTGTTGTAATACTACATTAATTCTCATCATCACCTAACAACTCTTCCACAGCTGTGCGAGCCAGGCGCAACCGATGTTTCACAAGCATTAGTGTGCGGATGGTGCCAGGCTTCAGATTAGCACGCCGCATGGATATAGTATCCCTACTAGAGGAAAATATACGTTCCACCGCAACAGCAGATCCTACAGTGACTGCATGAGACAGGGGACTAGTGTACACAGAGAAAAACGTACCTGGGATAGACATTATATCACGGGCCATGCGGTAGAGGTTTGGGAACTGAGTTCGTCACTTGTACCACCACATTACGGGGTCGCAGAAGTCAAAGTCCTCCCAGCTCTGGGTGAGCATAAAATACTCGTTTAATTCATCAGAACTCTGCCTTGGTGCCCACTTGTAATGTGAAGTGAAGCTGACTTTTTGCGGCGAGCCTTCACCAAATAATGGCACAGAGGAGGAAGACATTGTTGGAGCAGCATGAATGGGTGCAGGAGTAGATGTCGACGTCTTCGAGGCATAGTTGTCCAGATAGAACTCGCGTAAACCCCACTTCGCATCTTCGAGATAGAGATCGAGCTCGGCATCATCAGAATACTCTGATTTTAGCCCCGAGTATGAGATTCTTGGATCTAAAACTGTGTTTGTTTGATTAAAAGCATGCTCCAAATGAAGACAAGGCACTCACATGCTGCCCACGTATAATAAGGGGACTCGTTGAACTTGTAATAGTAGTCGCTGAGCTTTCGATAGGCCTCAAGTAGACCTTTCTTTATCTCAGGCGGTGTATGATCGGGCAGGCCAGCAAGAATACTCTTCAGGTGACGTTGAAGACCTCGGAAGACAACATGGACCGTTGAGAGCATTGGCTTCTGCGTCGTGGACATCTCCACCGTTGCTGCATGGAAATGTTTCAGCCAATCCGTAACCATTGCGATAGCTTCCCAGTCGTTTGTAGAGAGCTCGTACTGCCGAAGCTCCCGGTTAATGGCAACATAAGTGTTTACAACATGTTTGTAATCGCAAGCACGTCCTGAGAGAGCAACTCAGTGACAAGTCCAGCTGTATCATATTTGTACTCACGGAGCATTTGATGAGTTGATGACCACTGTGTCCGCACATCCAGGATTAGCATTAACGCCGTCTCTGAAGTGTCTTGTGCTCTATCCTTGAGCCAGTTTGTGGCTTCTGCTAGCCATGACTTTCGTCACTGTGGGCTTGAGCGTACTGCAATGACGATCTTCCGCAGCTATGAGAGTAGCTGTGTTAGCTCTCTCATGAGGCAAATCAACAAAGCTCACCTTGTGTACAGTGGTTAGAACACTCTGCGTATTTTCTTCATCTTCCTCTGCATTGTCTTCTTGCAGAACAGCCTCCTCATCATTACTACGATCTAGTGGTGACATCACGGCATCTTGGTATACACCTGCACGTGCCTCAGCTTTCTTTCGCTCAGATGGGCTGAGAGCACCAATGGCTTCAAGAAGCTGTTCAATGGAATGCTTAAAACAGATACGTATGAAAAATTTGGATGTGGAATACCTTTAATGCAGCTAGGTGAACAGTGTGTGGCATGCAGCGGAGTTGACTTTCCCTAGCTGAAAATGCAATGCCGGCGACAGTGCATTTTTGCTCAATGGCCTCCACCATTGTATTGTTGTTCGAAGCGTTGTCCATGACAAAGGCTACAATCTGTAATAAATCGAAAAAAGGTGAGAGAAATATAGGCAGGCTAACTTGAACTTACTCGACCGATTAGTCCGAAGATTTTCAGAGTCTCCCATACAGCCTCGGCCATGTTATCACCGGAATGCTCACCCAAAAGTTCACAGAAGTCAATAAGTGTCTCCTCTGTTGAGTGCGTAAATAAATGCCCACCCAGAGAACCAATTTCTTACCAAGTTTACCCTTATTATTGACATAATGTGCAACGATAGCCATGAAAGCATAGCCATTTGGTGATGTCCACGCATCAAGTGAGATTGACACCTGAGCTTCCAATTCCTACACATAAATGTTAGCTTCCATCGATAAATGGGAATGTAGACCATACCGAAAACATCTGTCATAGACTGGATACTACATCCTTGCCCATTTTCATGATCTTGTGTTGTACGGTGGTTCAACTCGGTATATGTAGTGGTTCCGGTGCTGGATGATGAGTATAATTCAGCAATGACTGAAACTCAGGCCGTTCCACCTCCTCAAATGGCTGGTCACAGGCGACGATCCACTCAAGAAGAAGCCTTTCAAACTTCGCTTGATCCCACTCTCCCTAGTGACAGGTTGCTTAGCCAAAGCGTAGCTGTGAGAGAACACAAATAAATGTACCGCAGCTTGGACAGTCTGCCGTTGGAAAGCCTGAACAATGTTCTTGGAGGCCAGCTCAAGCTTCTTGAGATAATTCATTGCGGATTTGACATCGAGTACCTTGGTACCATTTGCGATTTCGATTTCTTCTTCAGTCGGTGAATCCTTGCGCTCATGGAGGATGGTATAGAGGCGGTGCATGGCAGGGAAGTGGTGTTTAAGGTGATTGACGAGCGCTTTCAATCAGTCATTAGATAACAAGCCATATGTGTGAAAAATATAATAACATACTTGTGAGGTTGCTGCGACTGGTCCCTAAGATGGTGATAATCTTGCGGTTGCCATGGTAGCAGTGGTAATGTTTGTCACCAGATGCTCCTTGAATCGTATTGCCTTTGGCATCAACGTGGACCAGCTCGAAGAAGTAGTGGATTGCACTCTTCTTCTTTGATCTCATGTTAGAGGTCAATGGCTACAAAGTAGGCATTAGAGATCGTAAATGTAAATATGTCTATGCCAGACCTGTGAATCGGGGACAGCACGGGGGGTCGTATCGTGCGAGGTAGGACTCTCTTCCTCAGCGATGTGTTGTCTCTTTTTGGGTGGCTTGACTTTTGATGATTTTCGGAGCTGACGTTCAGCCGGTCTTCCACCCAGGGGAATGGTCTTCGACGGAAGCATGCTAGCAAGCTTCAAAAAACATCAATACTCGATCTATACACATTACAGAAAGAACATACCTCCTCGTTAGGGATTGCGCTGTCATCTTCATGCTCAGAGGCATCAGTGTCATCATCGTCCGATTCTGCATCAGTTTCCTCATAGTCATCATCCTCTTCATCGACATCTATTACACCGTCAGCCACTGCTTTTGCCTTACCCTTGATTTTTCTCAAACGGCGCTTTCGTGGCACTGACGGACGGACATAATTACCATCTTCATCCTGCTGTTCCGCAGTCAGAGACGCTGAGAATTTGGCAGTTTTCTTATGACGCTGGCCACGGCCACGCAATGCTTCTGCTAGAACAAAAAATTAATAGTCAAAGTGCTGAAGGAGATATCATACATACCTGCAGGTGCATCGGATGGTCCCGGGATGAGTGGTGTGACAGAGTCTGCATCGAGATAGAAGGTGATCTCTGATGCATCCTTCAGCATCCCATCTGCGTTAAGTGTGCATTGGTCATCAGCTGATGCTAAGGGCAAAGTCAGCGTTCATCAAGCATAGTGATAATCAAGCAAGCTTACCTCCACTGTATACTCGAAATCGTAAGTGAAAATGAGTCAGTGACGTGACTCCTAGGTCTTGCATGGTGTCGCTGCCACTCAGCGGCAGATGTCAGCCAGGGAGGTACAGAGCGAAGGTCACCAGCCCCGACATGGATGGAATATACTTCCCATGTCGAAGAAACTCTACGATATCCAACACTCTTGTCGCACCTGATATCACTGAACTGTATGTCAGTAATCAGAGAAGCAGGTAAGGCTGGGTACATACACATAGGAACCGTCGATTCAGATGCTCTGACGACAAAGATCGTGGTCGTTTCTTCATGCAGGAGTCGACGAAATCTGTTGAGCCACATATGAGAGACATGCCCACGCCAAAAATGGTATGGTGCCTTGGGAAGGAGGCCATTCAGACGGAAGAACGTTGGATAGATAGAATTTACTGTCCTTTCGGTATTAGAACAAACAATAGAGAGAAATGATTAAAACCCACTCAGGAATAGCGACACAAATAAGACATAAAAGATGATACCGCAGAGCCCGGCTGCTGTAGTAGATGGACTTGATCTTGCTGTGGGGACGTAGAAAACAACAGTTGCTAGCATGCCGAGTACTGGAACGAGGGTAAAAAGAAACATGATAGAGAACCATACCAAGACCAAACGAGAGATGCTGCAGCTTCGGGTTGGTGTTAAGATACTGTGGATGTCCACGCGACGCATGTTTGTGTGCACTGTAAAGGCCGAGAAACAGGATCAGACCTCGTTAGACAGAGATATAGAACCAACATACCATGGTCAAGACGGGTATTGCCAGTACGATCCTCTGGCTGGTTCATGGGGAAAACGGAATAGTGGTAGCTCAAAAATTCTGACAGCCTCGAAATTTAAGAACATCAGCCAGAATCGTATTGGAAACCAGATATTAACATTTAGGGGAGTTCATGGAGTAGATTAGCCCAGAGAATGGTGGATCTGAGGCATACAGAGGGGGAAAGGTGAAACATCCTAAGTCATGATAGATTTTGCCGTGGGAATTGGAAAAAGAAAAAGTGAAATGGTCATATATCTAAATGTGAGCTGTCCAGAAACAAGTTACAACTATGGATAAGGACAAGCCCACGAGAAGTAGGATAATCGGAATGACTAACTCATGTAAGGGATTTGAGAGACGGGTGCCATTTGGGCAAGAGGTAAGGAGAACGTTCAACGTCACGCTGGCAGATTACAAACAGGAGCACATGGTTGGGATCAATGGCATATCGGCAACAATTACGAATCCTACTGCCGTATACAACCGTAACGGTCTAGCAGGCATGGCAGATACAGTTCATATCCGTACCGTGGACCATACCGTGCATCCACCTAGAGGACAGGCCACGGTACGGACCCGTATCTGTAGGTGCCGTACGTCACCACCGTATTACAGTTATGGTGCACATCCCTAGAAAAGACCAAGGAACTCGTACAACGCGATTACTGGTGGCCGAAACTGAAGCAAGATGTGGAAAGATACGTAAAAGGATGCGAAGCCTGCCAAAGGACAAAGACCAGCACCCAACGGAAGAGAGCACCACTACATCCTCATGCTGTACCCTCTCGACCATGGGAGCACATCACGGTCGACATGATAGGCGAACTGCCTGACTCCAACGGATACAACGCCATCCTTATGATCGTGGACCGTTTCTCAAAAGAGGTCATTCCCGTACCATGCTCCACAGAGCTAACCTCCGCAGGATGGGCTAAAATCCTCAGAGATCACGTATGGGCCAAGCACGGAATGCCTCAAAAGGTGATATCTGATCGAGGACCCCAGTTCGTATCGAAATTCATGAAGGAACTATACGAGATGTTACATATACAAGGAAATCCATCCACAGCCTATCACCCCCAAACGGATGGACAAATGGAACGAGCGAACCAAGAGATCGAAAAGTATCTCAGAATATTTATCAATCATAGACAGAACGACTGGAGCGAGTGGTTACCCCTCGCAGCCTTCCAGCATAATAACCGGAGGCATTCCGCAACCGGTTATTCTCCCTTCGAAATCAACCACGGGCAGAAGCCGCACCTAGCACTGCTGACGATCAAAGAAGGAACCAATCCCACGGCTAGGGAGTTCGTAGCAGACATACAAAAGGTACACGAACAAACAACAAAGGTGCTGGAAAAGGCAGCAGAAGTCATGAAGCGACAGTATGACAAACACCAACGAGCGGCGATAGAGTACCAACCCGGAAACAAAGTATGGTTGGACTCCACGAACCTACATCTTCCCCGACCAATGAAGAAGTTAGGGGACAAACGCGTTGGACCGTTCGAAGTAATATCCAAACATGGCGCATCGGCGTACAAACTATGTCTACCACCCACTTGGAAAATTCATGACCGCTTCAATGAAAATCTTCTCACTCCCTACCATCCACCGGAATTCCCAATCCAAGTACAGCCTCTAGCACCCCCGCCGGATCTTGTGGATGGTCAAGAACAATACGAAGTGGAAGAAATCGTGGACTGAAGAGAGCGAACCATTGGCAGAGGAAGGAAGCAACGCACAAGAATTGAATACCTCATCAAATGGAAGGGTTATCCCAGGGAAGAGAACTCTTGGGTAGATGAACAAGAGTTGGACAACACGAGGGAGGCAATCGAGGACTTTGAACAAATCTCGTTCATAACTCGACCACCCGCCGAATGGTGGGAGGATAACGACGAATCTGACTCCTGGTCAGAAACGGAGTCAGTAACCGAGTCCGAAGTCGACCATCCCTTGGTACAGGCAATTCAAGAATACCTGGTAAAACCAAATGCACCTTCTCTCATAGGAGCCTATCTTCCCAAAACAAGTCCACTCGCAGTCAGGACGACTGCCTTAACAGGGGGGTAATATTACGATTTCATGCTCTATCTTATCTTATCAGCTCTCTCGTAATCTCGCTATGCTAAAACTCCGGACTTGATCGCATTCATCCATGAGGGTTCAGTACGTTTAACGCACCGTTGCAGACACTTGTAGTATATTTAGCATGACCCAAACTGTATTTAAGTAGCTCGACTGCAGGTCTTACACCTCAGTCTCGAACTAAAGTTTATTCACCCGATAACTTAGTCTGAACTCACTCTCGCTCCACTAAGCGATAGCTCCCTGCACGCAAACCTGCGAGCAACACAAAGCGCCTGACCGAAGTGCGAGTCACGCTTAGTTGTTTGATCTTGTTTGTGTAATCGGTCGCTAACAATCTCAATCTCATTTACAAGGCACTGCTAAAGGTGATTTCCAGGGTCAATGTAAGCTGTTCATGCTCTACACAATAATATACACAGCCTTATAGTTGCTTCCATCTAGTCTGAAGTTACAGACCAAAGTCTTCGCACATATGTCTATCATGCCTTCACATTCTGGGAGTGTACCTATGACTTCATGAAAAGGAAAGGTCAAGATGAAGATCCTGAAAAGTTGGTGTACAACACTGCGATGTCCTTGTCACCTTCCACAAACTTCATTTGCAGAGATTGGGTGAGGAGCAGTGGGGTTCATGCTTTTTGTGATAAGGAGCGTCTGCTAGCTCTTATACCTCGGGAGACTAACCACCAGCTAGAGAGCTTGTCTATATTTCAAGACCCTTGGCATATTCAGTCCATGTGCTTACCCTCAGATCTGGTCGACTCCGAAATATCTGTGCTGTTTGATGTTGATACAGGACAGATCGCAGAGCAATCACCTCCGTTGATCCTTCAATGTTTCCCTCATATGCCAGCCTCATATACCCGACGCACTTTCTACCAAACCATTGATCATAGTGTTCAGATCGTCAGATTCGTGCTTTGGGAAAACTTGATGCGGGATAATGAGGGGACTTTTGAATTGCCCGATACTTCACGATATGAAGTAATTGACAGGCATGGCAGTGGCCATCATGATGTGTTCATCTCCATCCTCAATACTCAGACCTCTCAATGTGAGAATTATCTGTTTCTTGGAGGGGACGCTCACGTTGTAGTCCAATATGCACATGGATTATTCATCGTTCATGAGAATTCAGGCACCATACATAAAGTTGAACTGGCAGGCACTCAGGCTGGGTGCAAGGAATGGATAGTGCTGGATGGCTGGACAGATAGTGCCCATGCCAACAATGCCTATATGTTCACTGTCACGGGAGATGGATCTAGGTTACTAGGATTGACCACCGACTGGAATAAAAGAGGCGGGTTCTCACTACGAGAGTGGGAAACATCAACCGGTACTCTACTCTTTACATTGTCATACGGCAAGTTTCGGTCTTTGTCATAAATAACACCACTGACTATTTGGGATACAGGATTCCAGTCAGACTCTACCATCTTCATTGAGGGCATCCGAATTTCGCCCGACGGTTCGAAGGTCGCCGTCGCCGATCGATGGTGTCTTTTCGGGCCGGCATTCATAATACCAGCACCATCCAGAAGAGGTATCAGGGTCCCCATAAAGGTCGGAGATGTGAAATGCTTGACGTGGTTTCCTGATAGCGATCAAATTGTCTACCTTCGAAGGTGGCACTGTGGGCATCAACATTGTCACAAATGTTATGATCTTGTTGTTCAGCGCCTTATGAGCGGACAGAGTACTATGATTAACCGTTGGTATGAGGGTTCAGTACACAATATTTTGGTCACTGCGGACGGGTCCAAGGTGATTACTCAGGACAACGAGTCATTCAGAACATGGGACATTTCGGATTTGTAGCCTATTCGCCTATACTGTATTATACGCTTCACTCTCCCTACAATTCCAAACCGTTGACATCAGTCTTTTTGAAATACCAGGAATATAAGGCAAGCAGCACGCGCGGAATTCAATAGTTCAGCTGAATGCCGTTAAAGGTTGAGTGCATGCCGAATCCAAGCTGGCTCATCGCTTGCCTCGGAACAAAAACTGAGATAGATGAGATGTATTTCCATAGTGGATATCATGCTGAACTCTGACACGACGACGGTTACAGTAATTCATCATATGGGGCATAAGTATAACAGCATAGCATAGATATACCCAGGATCGCAGTGCCAGGCTCTGGTAGCATTGCAAAACTAGTCACTGAAGATGAAGCGGTGGTCGCCCTACATGACGTGTAAGCATATGGAAACAAACGAGACGGGATAGAAGAGAAACCTGTGGTGTGATGCTTTAATCGCAGCGACCTTGGCCGTCTTCTCAGAGATGCGCTTGGCAATCCAAGCACTGAGAAGTCGACCGATGAATGAGAGAATCGTAGTAAAACACTCACTCACACTCACACTTCTGATCCTTCTGGTGCTCTAATTTTCTGCACTTGATGGAGCGGAGGAGACGACGGCACTCAGGAGACGGATGGAAGTAACGAGACACCGGATCTTCAGGGCTTTGGCACAGAGCTTCGCATTCTCCTTCTTCGTACTCCTCGATTCCCAACGGATAACGCACTTGCAGACATCATCGTCCTTGGACAAGCTGAACATCTTGCAGATTTTTGTTGCCCACTTGAGACGAGACGGTTGGGGAGCATAGTGTCAGTGAGACCGAAGATTTCTGTTTTCGCATTAATGCAAGTAGAAAATGAAGAGAAAGTGTACATGCCAGCTTCTCTGGGGAGCATAGTGTCAGTGAGACCGAAGATTTCTGTTTTCGCGTTAATGCGAGTAGAAAATGAAAAGAAAGTGTACATACTAGCTTCTCCCTACTTCACGATGACCAAGTTCAACACGGCACCCACGAACGGACTTTTCCCTTCGTCTCACCCGTCCGGCGAGTGACCATCGGACAAGAACAGACAGACACGGTAGGGGAGAAGCACACCCTGCTTGTCGTTTCCTCCAATAATCTGGAAGACGAATCCCTTGAGCTCTTAAGGAACACCTCAACCTAAGGAATGGGAGTGCTATACATGCTCGATTTTAAATGCGTGGTCCGACCGCAGAGCACTTATCACTGGAAAGAAGTCAGCGGTTCAAGGAAGTAGGGGCGTTACAGGTTGATCCGACCATATAGAGTACACTGTCAGAGAGAGGTCCATCTTCTCTTGCAGCAAATCGGTGGTCTGCATCCCATGCGTCAATCAAACAAGGATCAAAGGATGTTGACCTCAACGCCGGTGAAAAAATGGTTTATTTGGATTCTGGAATGTCGTCCGGAGAAACCACAGAGAATGAGTATACACGTATACACCGCAAATATTACGATCACAAAAGAACGGGAACGTTTGAGACAGCCGAGTAGTGGAAAGCATACAGAGGTCGTGTTGGTGGTGATGATGGTGTGCTGGTACCGGTTTACGGTCCGAAGTCCGAAGTCTGAAATGCCAACCCGTGGGAACAGCTCTTGCCACCTCGACCACGATTTCCTGGGATCCCTCCCGTTTGGATACGGACCTTGTCGACATACAATACCCTGTTGGCCCTCTCTGGAACGCAATTGACCCGGAGCTTTCAATGAGCATCCCTGATTCTACCGACGCATGGAAGAACAACTCGGATAGCAAGGCTGTCGACTCTCCGGGGACAACCAGTAGTTGATGTTGGCACCGTCTTAGGGGCATAGGCTAGGTTTAACAGAAGGTCGAAATGCTAGCGCTGCATGGCTTTGAGTTTCAACAGTCTTTTAGAGAAAGCGCCGCAACCACTGAGCGACTGATGGCCCTGTAGCATATAGATGGCTATTGGTGCATTACTCATTCACAATTTCGGAGGCTGTTATCCGCTGCTAATAGGATTTTTGTGTGCATCATAGGTTCACCAATCTAGCATGCTCTTTGCACTGTCAGATCAGCTCATCTTGACCTTATCGATGCTCGTCGAGTCTCGGAGTCCAGATGTTGTATACGTGGACCCAACATAAGGCTCTTCACGTAGAGATCGATTCTCGAGCTACAGCCCTTTGCATAGACCAGGATGGTGACGACGACACAATTATGCACGTTGACACCATGACTCAGAAACTTCTGCAACCTGCATGAATTCGGAGCCATCTCATGTCCATTGTGAGTGCCACGTCGTTGGTCTTTCTGCACGGTATTTTTCATTGACCCGTTGTTAGGTTCTCTTCTTCGTGCTCTTCCTCCTGTTATCCTTCATCTTCGTTCTCTTAATTACTTTGTCATATCTACGTATGCGATTGCAGCTGCCCGTATGGAAACTTCGCATTATCTCACCATTTTCGGCCGAGGACCAGTGCCGTGTGCAGTCATTCAGAACATGGGACGTTTTGAGTGCGTCTGTATTGTATTACTGTATTCTTTACCCCATAATTCCAAAACCATTTGCCATTAAATACCAACCCGTTCGGATTTTATTACGAAACAAACAGTATGCACGAGATTCACCAGTTCGATGGAACGTTGATAAACATTGAGCATCGAGTACACGCTGAAGCCAAGGGCTCGGTCCTATTCTCAGGACGAAAAAATAAATAAAACAGTTCAAACGTGACGACAACGACTGCAATAATCAATGATGTGGGTTATACAGATAATAGCAAAGCATACACCCAGGATCGCGGTGCCAAGCTCTGGTGATATTGTCAAGGTAGTCACTGGAATTTAAGCAGTAGTCACCCTGCGTGCCATGTAAGCACATGAGAATAAACGAGACAAGGTGAAAAACGAACTTGTGTGGTGCTTTAATCGCAGCGACCTTGGCCTTCTTTTCAGAGACGCGCTTAGCAATAAGAGCACCGAGAAACTAATTAATCAACGAAAAGTTCAAGTAGAAACAGAATACTTACCCATACCCGGACTTCTGCTCTTTCTGGTGCTCTAATTTTCTACGCCTAACGGAGTGGAGGTGACGACGGTACTGGAGACAGATGGAAGTAGCAAGATGCTAGATATTCGGAGTCTTGGTGTAAGCCTTCGTGTTCTCCTTCTTCCCGCTCTTCACCTCCTGGTGGATAACGCACTTGCGGACATCATCCTCCTTGGACAAGTTGAACATCCTGCGAATGTTCGTTGCCCGCTTGGGACCGACACACAGGGCACATGCTTGATTTAAATGCGTGGCCCGACCGCAGAGTACTTATCACCGGAATGAAGTCGGTGGCTCGTGAGGGAGAGGCAACTCGCAGACTGGATAAACCGGGGCTTCCAGTGCGATACTGTCTAGAGACTCGAAGGAGAAAGACTGACACGCGTTTAAAGTACTTATTGTTTGCATAACGCATGGAACAATAGAAGTCCAGAGTGAATAATTGAGAATCTGGAACGCAGACATCGGCAGATAAAATGAAGGGAACGGAAAGGAAAGAAATATGAAAACCCTGCTCTGCTCAGTGCTAAAATCCGAAGAAGTGCTATCAATCCAGGCATCGAAGCAAAAATCTCACAATGCACACCCTCCCGTTCTTAGGAGGGCGCAGGCTCCGATCTCTCTGGCTGGGAGTCGAACCCAGCCTTCGCAGCGCGCGCTACGCCGATACGCCAACAGAGAGCTGAACATTCTAGTGTTGCTGGCTCCATATCGCCGTGGTGCTTCGTTTATGTAAATTGATCCGCGGCTGCAGAGTGTATGCTACTTCGAGAGTTCGTAGCGTGTATCTTGAATCGAAGACGCTTCAGTCACCTTCATTTGAGGAAAATGCCACAGATCGCCAGGAGACGGGGAAATATTCGAAAGGCTCTAGATCGAAGCAATTTGCGTTGCATAGAAAACATCGATAGTATGAGGCTGATGAGCTGCGAGGTTCAGAATGGGCCACTAAGTATGAGAGTCGTCTGAAATTACGGAGCTAGTCCGTGTTCCCAAAGAACAGGAAAGAAGAAGATTCGTTCAGCACTGAGCAAAAAGCTTCACAACAGACGCCATCCCACACTGGGGAGGACGTATGTTGCGATCCTCCCGCGGGGAATCGAACCCAGCAATGAGAAGCGAGGAGACCGCTTCTCCGATAAGCCATCAGAGAGTGAATGGGTGTCCTACAACAGATTGTATCACAGCCAACCCCAAAGAAGAGGGAGCAAGCTGGAGAGTGAGGCTGTCACCATAAAGGCTTGCGATTCCGAAGAAGAGTATCCAGGATCGGATAGGAGAGAAAAGAGTACGACGATTACTGAACGAATGAAAAAAGGGGTGAAGTGAGTTGGCTGAATGCGAGATGAAAAGATGAAAGCTACTCATTCAGGAATACATGGCAATACCTCTCGAGAAAGATAAACGTATGGAACCCGAGCTAATTCTTCCCCAAGGTCTGGGGTGAGAGTTGGTGATATCGAGTACTTGTCATGTTGATGCTGAAGGCATACAAGGAATAACTAGACCTGAAAATGGGACGTCGATCCAGAAAGTAGAACTGAAGAAAGAACTCACCTTAGAATAAAAAATAATGTGCAACACACGCCCTCCCTTCTTAGGGAAGGCGTGTCCTGCGATCCCTCTTGCTGGGACTCGAACCCAGCTTACGATGTGAATGCCACGCGTTGCCGATATGCCAATAGAGAGTTGACAGGATGAAGCTTCGCTGGCATTAAGGCGTTGTCGTTTATGTAAACGGATATCTGAGCAAACTCAGGAACATGGTGCTCTAGGCGCAGGATGCATAGTCGAGTCTATACGGAAGAGTGATGGTGAGTCGAAAGAAAGATAGGAATAGCCGTCGAAAAGGTAGTCCGTAATGGTGCTTGCTTAAAAGGTCAGGGTTGGCTGGTATAGTGAAGAGGGAGCGATATCTTCACAGAGATCGCGGATAGAACTGTTATTGGTGATATAGGTTCGAACCTGTCCAGGGATGTCGTCGATTCCACCTGATAGCCCTGCACGGCCAATCGGACACAGGGACGGAGAGAGAGAACGATATGACATCGCATGTCCAGAAGACTTGGACGCGCATGGATGTCGGGCTTCGTATAGTATACGAGGGTGATGGAGCGTGGCGATAAGTAATAACGGTGGTCTGTGGTGCCTAAAGCTGACGGGACTTTATGGTGGTTCCACTGGCGGCACTCTGGTGCTGGTCATCGCTCAATCGAGTCAAAAAGTGAGTCCGATAAACGTTGCGCCTTTCATCCCAAATGATGCCTATACAGGTCACCTAAGAAGAAGTAGGCGCCTGTTCTTTCGCACCGCGGCCATCCGTCACAGCTGGTAGGTCCGACTGTGGGATTTTGCTCAGCCCTGATTCCTCCTGTTTCTCCTGGCCCTCCCTCCCGCCCTTCGAAAACCATATGCAGATGCATGAGTAGATAGCAGGTTTGAGGAGATCGTAGATCTACGAGGTCGGGGGAAAGGTCGTGGTTTCCTGGGAGGGAGGGATATAGCGATGTATGTACAATTGCTGGTCAAGTATTAGTCATCTCCCAGACATCCTATACGAGAAGCCATTCGATGCGATTGTCTCTTAGACGGGACAGACAAGCGAGCGAGTTGTGTGTGTGTGCCAGGCGGCAAACTCGGGGAAAGCTGATGTGGAAGCGTTGTGGGTTGGTAGTGCTAAGATGGGATCACGCTATCAGCGAATTATCCATCTTCTCTCTCAGGAAATCATCAGTCTGTATCCACGCGCATCAATCAAACGAGGATCAAAGGATGTGGAACTCAACACACGGTGTAAAATTGGTTTATTTGGAATGTCATCCGGAGCAACCCCAGAGAATGAGCGCATACGTATAAGCCGCAAGTAACAATGTCGCGAAATATTGGGAGCATCGAGCCGCAAGTACTGACATCGCGAGATAATGGGAGCGTTGGGACGGCCGAGCAGTAGAAAGCATACAGAGTCGTGATGATGGTTGTACGCTCGTACCGGTGTACGGTCCGAAGTCTGAGATCTGAAGCCCCAAATGCCAACCGTGGGAACAACTCTTGCCACCTCGACCTCTTGGGACCCTCCCGTTTGAATACGGACCTCGTCGATATACACCTCCTTGCCGTTTCTGAAATATAATTTATATGGAGCCTTCGATACAGACTTTTACTTCCTCTCACCCGTCCGGCGAGCATGCAAGACAACAGACGTACATGGTAGGGGGGGAGCACCCACTGCTTCATCGAGAAATCCTGCTTGTCGTTTCTTCAATCTGGACGACGCACTTATCCCTTGAGCTCATCAAGCACGCTTAAAGAAAGAAGTCGGTGGTTCACTGGAGAGGTGTGCGGGCCAGATAACCCGAGCTTCCCTGTTGGCGTGACCTTGAACCCTTGCTTTTGCTTTCTCTGGCATTCCGTTTCCTCAGTCTCATATTATTATGGCAGCTAGCGCTCACCGGTCAACCTCTGCTGTATTGTTACATCGCATGCAAACCTTGTGATACCGTCAAAGATCCACGTTCAAATATTGTTCAAGCGAGTGCGAGCCTTGGTGTTCTTTTATTCGATCTGATAGCGTACGTACAATACTCGAGATATTATTGTTGGAACACCATTATTCTGATAACGATGTCATAGTTTAAATGTGCTTGCAGTCTCCTTTTCGGTCCCTGCAGAGGCAAAGACCCCCATCTCGCCGTACCATCGGACCTGGTCAGCGGTCGTTGATGCCTGGTGTTCCTGGCAATGCGTCTGTCTACACGTTATTGAAAACCTTGGCAATTCCACAAGCTCGCCGGTGCTCGCAGACCGTTTGGACGGGCTGATCGAGGTTTCTCTGAAGTTTATGATCTTTTCGATATTTTTGGATTCCGCTCTCCTTTGGCAGACTAGTGGCTGCATGCAACGATCGACACAGGAAGGATAATTTTCGTTACGGAGCCATTGGGACGAACCAATGCTTCAGTGTCACGCCTTGCGCTTCGTACAGCTTCCCCGAATCTGCGTTTCTTCATTTTATTTGTCGGTCAGGCATTTCTCGCTTCCCAACTTTCTCTCTTCTACTCCTTATCAATGGCCTTGACAAGATGCACGCGGAGTGGTTCATATATTGACCCTCGTTGCCGAGGAATTGGACTCCTCTCTCTTCGCTCTGATTACGTGCAACCTTCTCCTTGAGACTTACTTCCTAGATGTACATCTGGGCTAAGATGAAGGAGCAAATCCTGCAGCTACGATATTTTTCCCGGAAAGCCATATGGTAAAGGTGAATGAAGTTCACTACAACCACGTTTGACGCCTAATACCTGCTAACTAATCAAGACAGATACCATTTTAGTGCTGTCCTCAACATGACGACAACACCTCTCTTCTCGAATGAGGTATGTGGCATTTACTCTGTCCTTAAAATACACGAGACGAATATTGAGATTTTTTTCTACAGTGATGACCAACTAGCGCACAGTGGTATAGCAGCTAGTTTCTTCTTCGCAACGCCTTGTCCGCCCAGTGATCAAACGGCGGGGCGGGGGACTCGTTTCTTGTGATTGGTGATCTCCATTTACACCACGAACCCGAATCCCTTGATTGGTATCCATCTGATCTTGTGCCGGTAACTCAATATCGAGTCCTTTTAGTGGGTTATTCGGATGATTAAGCTAGATCACACGGCATCCGCAGCTTGCTCAAGTCACTCACAAAACCAATAATAGCGGGCGGTCATGGGCGGACCAGGCATGCTGATGTTGCGAAGCATTCTCATTCTGCCGGTGGTAACGATCTCCAGTCCCGATTTATTAACCGATAGCTTGCACTCGTTGATTGGCGTCTGCACCGAATGAACAATGCTCCCACTCCAAGTCGCTTCCTCACTGTATACATGAAACCCGTTAACTTGACCTGGCTCGTGGCCTCTTCGAATGGGTATGTATGTATCCTAGTTCATACTCAATCGGGCGCTAACCATTTTCCAGTTTATAAACTCGGGTTGCCTTCTGGTGCTTTACCTTCGAGCTGCGGTGTTTAATGCTTCCGAGGAAAACGCAAAGGCACTGTTCCCACCAGCAGACCACCTGGGATAAATGGGGTCTGTAGAGTTCGGGGTGAGAATTCTTTTCTTTTCTTTTGCGAAACTACTTCTACGGAGCATCGATTCATGGCTATGGCATGTCATGTGGTTTTCTCTTTCTCGGCAGTAACACAGCGGTGGCCACAGCATATAGTACAGCATCTTTTTTGGATCGAAGCGGTTGGAATGCTGTAAGACGCGCGTCCAATGTGTGGTACATATATGCAGCGTCTTCTCCTCCACTGTACTTCCATCGTTGAGTGTGTGAGCATTGAGATGGACAAACGGTAAGCCCCCTTCAATGACTCTTAGATTTGTTTTCGCTCATGAATGATGGTAGATATCGCTTTCGCCGGATCAAAGATACAGTCGCTTCTATTCTCACAGTCACTGTCTTTTCACTAAGCGTCTTTATGACCTAGCTATCGAACTACTCAATCTACCCTCGGAATGGGATAAACGGACGTATTATCTCAAGATTTTTGCGGGAGAAGACTACAAAAAGACAAATACGTACAAGGTGAAGAAGAAAGAGTGTGGAACAACTCCGACGCCCAAATGGACGATTGATCTTGATCTGTAAGGGCGCCGACAGATGACTTGAATCGTAGCTCATTGCATATTCAGGAGCCATATTAATGAACCAGAGCGATTTCAGGTAGATGTATACTGCCGTCGGGGCAAGGGAGAGTCTCAATGCCTTGGCCTTTGTGGTGCATCGATCTGGGATATTTTAATTGGTGAAACTGACAGTGAGTATCCGTAATCTGCACTGTCAGTGTCTAAACGTTTTCTTCCAGTTATTGTCGTGTCCATTAGTAGCAATTCCTCCTGTCCCAATGTTGCTTTGAAGATCTTCCGGAAAGGACCCACTGCTGAACATTCTTTGATCGCACAATCGGCAGGTGAGGACCAAGACACTGACATGTCGGCCGCAACCCAGAGTGGTATTCCCGGAAGTCAGCAAACCTCAGACTTGTCGGGGTCCCAGCTCATGGCAACCTCTGCGACGTCGGTGGAAGATCATTGCGCAACTGCAGGAAGAGTCGTCGAGGAAACTACAAAGCCTATAGAGCCCTCTGAACGGATTTCCAAATTGATCGATGTATGGATACTGTGAGGAGCGTGACTGAGGCATTCAAAGATGTGAGCAGGTTCCTTCCGCGATCAAATTCTAGATTCTAATTGAGTTTTGTCAGCTACATCCTGCTGCCTCAATTGCATGTGGCATCATTTTTCTTGCCTCAATGTAAGTACCAGCCTTGTTGGGAGCAGGAAGACTAGCTAACCACGCCTTTTCGGATAGATCTTGAAACAACAGACAGAACAAGATCAAACTGTGCTTGAACTGTACGATGCTATGATCACAACTTACAAGGAGGCGAGCGACGACCGCATGCTGTTGGGATTTTGCCGGAAAGTTCTAGAAGGGGCAATCCGGCATCATGCCGAGAGTTGCTGAGTAAGCACGAGACTAGTAGAAAGTTGTAGTACATTCTAGATTACATTGCGAAGTAGTATAAATACAGGCTCTGTAGGAGCCTAGGAATAACAAGTTCATATCAACTGGCCTTACCAGCCAGGAGTCTACCCTGCACAACACCGAGGATTCCAACACATGCTGTGGCAACAAGAGCGGTTGAGGCCGATCTATATATCATTGTTCAAGATCACAAACGAGTGCGGGATGTTCATCAAGAGATATATGGACAAAAACCGGCTTGGTGCATCCATGTTTCATTTCCAAAAGGATTATATGTAATACCAATTTTAGAACGCTTCTTTTCCTTGAACGTGTCATGGAAAGCAGGAGAATTCAGTAAAGGGTTCACATCTTTGCAGGAACAGTTGACTTTGGGTGTAGTAAAGGACACGCTTGTCGTGTCATTAGGCATCAGAGTCTTTGTTGATATATATGGTATGTCTCTTCAATTTTCTCATAAATGTATTCTAACCCGATCTGATTAGGTGTGCAAATGTCGCTTCAAGCACTGAAGCCAAAGCAAGAGCTGGGTCCTAAATCGATGTGCATGGCTGGTACACATGTGGAAACAACCAACACCTTGATTTCATGGATCGCAGAATGCAACGACGGCGTCCTTTGGTGCAGTGGTCTGGTGGGGATGGGAAAAAGCTCACTCTGCAGCACCCTCTATCAGCTTCTCAGCTTTGATATGAGCAGTCGCAGTCGCCTTGCTGCATTCATTCGTTATGACAGGACTGAATACCGGGACTCGTCAGAACTCATCACCTCCATTGCCTACTCTTTAGGCATGTTTGATCACCGCATAGGCACTATCATTGCTAAAGCTTTGACTGCATCTTGTGCGGCAGTTAAAATGCTGGCATCCAAATCATGCACCCAGTTTCGACTCCTCCTGCAGGAGCCATTGGAGGCGATTCAGGATTTACAAGATGAAGGTCCTTTGGTTGTCATGATTGATAGCCTTGATGAAAGTGATGTGTCAGAAGAGCTGCTGGCAGTGCTGGCGGACGGATTTGGGCCTGAACTATCATTCATGTGGCTCATTGTCTCTAGTCGACCCAAGGAAAAGATTTCTCATGTTTTCAAGAACCGCCAGCATCTCCACTGCTATCCTTTAGATACCTCTTCAGAAGAGATGAAACATGACATACAGCACTTTATCCAGCAGAAGTTTGACAGCATCAAAGATAAATGTATCTGGGGCATGCACAATGAGCCAGATGTTGTCACTTGGTTGGCTGAGCGGGCGAGCGAGCTGTTCATATGGGTGGTCAGAGTCTGTTCATTCTTGTGTGATTTTCCCAGCCTTCAGAGGCTCGAGGCATTACTGAAAACTATGATTCCAGCAGATGCAATTGAGGCTCTGACAGCATTATATTGAACGGCACTGGATACCGTCATGTCAGAAATATCTGGAACAAAGGAAGATGTCCGATGATGCATTCGTGCAGTATTAGGTGCTCTGATCATTCGCAAAGGCAACATGACAGCACCTATACTTGCTGGGCTTGTTCTGCAAGAAGGAGACCCTCCAGCACAGCTCATCGTTGACAAACTAGGAAGTGTAGTGCAGGAGAGATCTGTACACGTCAATTTGACATGCCACTCTCAGAGGACCCTTGAACTTATACACAAATCATTCGATGATTTTCTCCGGGATCATGACAGATGTGGAGATTGTTGGAGTTTCAATGACATTGGGATCATCGGTTGTCAGGGTTAGTCAGGCAAGAACTCGTTTATTACATCCTGTTGCTTCTATTAGTGTACACGGCGAGTAGATAAATAGGTAATCGAATGAAGACAACCCTCGCCTGTTTGCAAGGGTTCCCTGCTATATCCGGGTGAGTGGCTGGAGAATTACCACTTATCTCAACAGAGATGTATGGTTTATAGATGTCAAGGAGCATGAAAAAGAGCTTACTCGGCGATGTATGTTGTCCTTGATGACATTCTTAGAAAGATGGACACCATCCAGTGCTCATGCCATCAAAGAAGATCCGGTTCAACCTGCTTCTTCCTCTGTCAATGTCAACAACCCAAGGGAGAAAGTGCCGGTTCTATACAATGCCATACCATCCCACATTGGAGACTATGCTGTGAATGTTCTAGGATGGCATATTGATGCCTTGCTTGAGCTTGGGATCAACACTTACCATCTCTTGTTTGAGCATTGTTTCTTGTCCTGGCTCGGAATCTTCCATGCATGCTCAACTGACAATTATTCTGTGGATCCCATCTACAAGGCACTGCTCAAGGTGATTTCCTTGGTCAATGTAAGCTGTTCATGCTCTACACTATTAGTATACATGGCCTCATCGTTGTTTCCATCTAGGCTGAAGTTACAGACCAAAGCCTTCGCACATATGTCTATCATGCCTTTATGTTTTGGAAGCATACCAACAATTTCCTGAGGATGAAACGTCAATACAAGGGTTTTGAAAAGATGGCATACAACTTGAACACCACGATATCCTTGTCACCTTCCACAAACTTCATTTGCAGAGGTCGGGGGAGGAGCAGTGGTGTTCATGACCTTTTCGATAAGGAATGCCTGCTGTCCCTTATACCTTGGAGCATGAATCACGGGTGCAGTTTGAGTTTGTCTATATTTCGAGGCCCTCGGTATATTCAATCCAAGGACGTACCCGAATATCGCCGACTCTGCCATTTCATATCATGGCCTCTCGCCTTTGATCAATCCAGCAGACCCATTCTCAGGGTCTGCTCCAAAGGAACTATACTGTTCGATATTGATACAGGAAGGATAGCAGAATGATCACCTCCTTCAATACTTCAATGTTTCCCCAATGTGCCATTAGTATCAGTCTCCTACGCCAACTACACTTCATACCAAGCAATCGATGGCAGTGCTCAGATTGTTAGGTTTGCGTTGTTGGCAAAGCCTGAGAACGAAGGGCTCGAGTACACCAATAGTTCACAATGTGAAGTCATAGTCATTGACAGGCCAAGCAGCTGCACTGACGAATCTGGTGACAACGAATCTGATGATGCCAGCACCGCTGACTTCATCATCTCCATCCTCAACCTTTCCTGTCCGTCTTGTACACAAATCCCTGTAGTTACAGGGGAATGAGTTGTACACAAATCCCTGTAACTACAGGGGAGCTATTTGTGTGTACAGGTCAGTAAATGGTGCCGTGCATGTTCTTGTGGTGGTGTAATCAACCTGTGATGCCTCTTGTGACTACCTGGTGCATGATCCTGGGAGCAGTCGAGCTCATTGTCACCTTCGATGAGCTAAGTCCCTTTGACGCTGCGCTCGATGACAAAATCAAGCCTCCCCGACCCCTGCCTAGTTTGGATTTCATATCGAGATTATCTGTCATCGTCTATCGAGATTAGGTGATCGGTACTAGAGACAGGAAGTTGAACAATGATGATGGCATTTGTCAGGCACACCTATTCTTGCATCTCCGCTTTTGGCGTATGTCATTGGTATGCTCCGTCTTCCATGTCTACTTTTTGTTGTTCCATAAACTCCATTTTATTTCAATTTGCCATGCTTCAAGCCTTGCTTTGCGTCATTTTTACCACTTCAAAAGCTTCAATCAACATTGGCTGCTGTGTTGAATTACATCTGATGGGTGTCAGGAATTATCAGGCAAATGAGGGAGAATGATCACCAATTACAGTCAACAAAACATTGTAAACAAGGAGATTGTAGGTTCAACTCTTGACAGAATAATTCTTCACTGCACATAGCAGGTGCCTGTACATACTGTCCCCTCCTTACTGGTGCACAAGAGAGAATGAGGTAGGCATAGGTACACGCACCATTCCTGATCTGTGCACAGGACTGGATAGTGCTATCATGAGCTGAGAGGTACACATACGTTGATGCTGAGCTGTGCACAAGAGAGAGCGAGTATGCATATGCCTACTGAATAAGTAAGGCCGGCAAGCGGCAACACCCGCTACCTTGTTTCAGGTCTGTCAGCTGGAAATTTCCATAGTAGCCACTTCTACAGACTTACTTATATCTGACTGAATTTTTTCCGTGTTTGACGAGGATTTTTAGAGGCCATTCTGACATGTAGCGAGTAGAATACAGTGCATATAGCATGTAGATACCTATACTAAATAAGGACAAATGAAGTAACATCAAGAAAATCACACGTGTCATGCAAGCACCCTCTTCCACCACCTCAGTCACCAGACAGCCTCACACATGCATATCTTCAAGACATCCTATCAAGTAAGTTATCTTTTTCTGTTTCTTGATGTGTTTGCTTACTGGAGTTCAACAGCAAGCTCACAAAAATGTCTCTCAAGTCCAAAATCAAGCAGCGCTGGCAGTAAGTCGTCGGGCCCTGGCGAGGACGAACACAGACTGACAGGGGATATAGAAGTGTCATTGCGATGATGAGACGGATCATCAATCGTTTTAGAGGGGAGAGGAGTGCGTAACAGTTTGTGCTCCGTTGAATTTCTACTAATTTCTTGCAGATCTTACCTGCGAATGGGACTCTAGGTCCCCATACCAAGTTTTCAGACAACAGTGAGGACTTGCGATGTTCTTGGAATTGCAATCGGAAGGAGATTAGGACACTGAGGTCGAAGACTAGCAGGAGGACGTCGAGGTTCATTCGCATGGGGAATCTATGTCCAAAAATGTCTAAGTCCCTCAGGTTCATAAATCATGTAATCTCAGACAACGTACGAATTTTTTGCTGATTTTTCGAGATTTTTTTGGATTTTTTTGAAGCGAAACGGTGGTTTTGCAACGTGTCATGGCCATAGGCACCGAGCATCTAGCATGACGATGGGCGCTAAACCCGAAAAAGGAATGTGGCAGCACCCACACCGACCATGGGTGCCAACTAGTGTTTCAATAACGTGACTTGGCGCGGCTCGGCGTGACTCTATTTGGCTTTGGCTTCAACGGCTTCACCAAGTCATAATTTTTGATGGCTTTGAAGCTAAGTTGCCGTCACGCCGCTCCAGCCGGTCAAGCTATGACTTCATGCATTTCCTTTAAATGGAAGCTCATCAGTAGATTTTAGGTAACGTAATATTTCAGAATTTTCGGAGAAATTGCAGGAAAAAATCAAAGTCGACCTAAAATAGCATTTCGGTATTTTTTACTCAAGTCAAAGCTCGGGCAACTTCAAGTCACGCTAAGCCGCGCCGAGCCGGTACTGTGGTGTGACTTTGCCGAAGTCATTCGGCAACATCGGCATGACTTAGTTCGGCTTGACTGGCGTGGCGCGCGGCTTTAAGCCGAGTCATCGAAACACTAGTGCTGACTACCATATCAGGGTTGAGTCGGGAGACGAAGAAAAAAATTTGTGTCAACCGGTATTCTGGCGTGTGCCAAGATGCCGGAGTTGGCCGGCACCTCAGCACCTCGGGAAAATCTGAACAAAAATCCGTCAATTCATGTAAATCGCCTGGAGTGAGTCAGTGTCAGGAAGTTGCTTAGCTGTGTAACAAAGGGATACATATCTTTTGTGTTGTTATGAACAACAAGTTATAGGCCATTAGAGAGAGGCGATGATGGTAATGTTTCGCCGTGCAGTGCATACACTCGTGCTGTCCGCGAGGATGCATAGGCAGTGGATGAGTCTTGTAGTATGGGTAGAATGTGTTGAATGTCAGGAGCGTATGGCATGTTCTTATAAACATTTGAGTCATCATCGCAATGGGAAAAAAAGGACTCACCCATTCAAGTATGTCATATAAGAGATGGTTTTTTTGCACAGACGTGGTCAGTCTGTAGTGCATTATCACAAGCAGCCTATATGGTCTCAGATCCAGGGAGCAACGATGCACGGATAATCAGTGAGCAACACTGGGGGTCAGGATTCTAGCAGGTTCTGGCATGCGCAAGCATGCAGGTATGAATGAACTGATGACAACAATTGTATAGTCAGGAATGGTCTTCAACTTGCTCAACTTTATACCACTAGCACAAGCATACAGGCATGAATGAAATAAGAATGTCCAGATGGAACTTGCACTGAGGACAAGAGTTATACGAATGTGACGTGGCATGCTCAGGACACTCACTTGGAGACAGCATCCATAACATTCCATTTTTTTTCTTCCGCTCTTTTCACAGTGACCACCAAGAATCAAGAATGCGAAAAAACAGTCAAAAGAGCCGAAGCATGTGTAAAGGATGACTGCATAGGAACTGAGAGAGAGGGGATCCTGTGACTGTGACATGGCATATGACATGCATTACAGAAACTGTCATTGAGTATATATATGTACAGGGGTATACATTTTTTTCGGTGAAAGGTGCATCCATCTACCAGTAATCTATCATGTAAAATAAAAGCTGGGAATATACAATAGTAAATAAAATAACAATATATAGTGCAAATGAATGATCTACAGGAAATAAACATATCATACATGAGAATGCAACACAACAATATACAGTCAAAAGACCGGCAGAAAGCAATACAGATAATGCATAACAAGAAGATAGGAGTAAACATCAATTCACACACAAGAAACAATGCCCAAAGTGTTCAAACCTTTGCATGCTTTGCATTTCCCTCTTGGACATCGTCACTTGGATGCTTCTGTCCCTGTTTGCGTTCTGGATGAAGAATGATGTCAATAGTCTTCGTGACGTCATGGACCATGCCCAGTCAAGTATCCTCTAAGCTTTGACGACCATGTGCCCACCAATATAAGCCAAGGATAATGGTCACCAGTCCGTGCTGACCTCCCTTTCGCAGTGCCAGCAATGATTTGCTAGTATAGTCGGGTCTTGGTAGACCGCCAGTCAACGAGCGTCGCCAGCTAGGATTAAGTTGGTTCCACCAATCGATCATCTCAGACGCGAATTGAGAGTAGTCTTTGACAACTGGTGGAAGATCAAAATAGCGTGCACCGTCGAGCCACAGAGTAAGGGGATGCGGGCGTCGCCTCAATACCATTAGCTTTCCCTAGAAAAAAAGACTTTATGTCAGCTTGATGTATGATAGACCAACGTAATGAAACCATACCACAGGATCGACATCTGAGCTCCAGATGTCGCACTCAAGCTGCCTCCACTTATCAAGAAGATCCGCCCACGCTGGGCCAAGAGATTCATCTTCCATCTGCAGCCTTGCCTCGGCAATCCACCTGGGTGGACCATGCACTTTCTCTGTCACAGAGAGAGTCATCACCTCCTTGGGGCCTGGGCGCTTGTGTTGTCTGGATGGACGTGATAGGTTGGAAACATCTGGCAGTGGGTCTGGGATTGATGTCGACATGGAAATGGAGGAGGTAGTAGAAGTCATCTTCGACGGAACCACCGTTTTCGTCACTACATGCTTGGGAACAGAAGAGAAGGATATGTTGGACAAATCTGCTGTTCCTGAGACTGTTGCCATAGTTACGAGATCATCCATCGAACTGGATACGTTGACGCTAAAGCTTGAGGGTGGGGGCACAGCGTTCAAAGTGGGGATAACTTCATCTATCGAGGGTGAAGGCAGCATGGGCAAGGGCACAGCGTTCAAAGTGGGGATAACTCTGTCAATAGAGGGTGAAGGCAGCATGGGCAGGGATGCTGGATTTGAGGAGATGACTCCGCTAGCATCTAATTCGCTACCAAACAGTGTGGTCCAATCCATGGCCGACCAATCCAGCCCATCAAAAGCCAAGTCGTCAAATGGCTCCGAGAAGTCAAACATCTGGGAGGAGGAGAGACTATCTGACGAAGAAGGCAAATTGTTGGAGAAGGGATACATTCTAGATAATAATAAGTTAGGCTGAGTTGAAGATTGGTCCAGTGTGCCAAATACATCATCAAGAGGACAATCTGACAATAGAAGACTATCAGCGATGTCCTGACGTGCAAATGAAGCAGTTGGTATACTGATGGACATCGACAATGTTGGAATCTGTGGGAAAGGCTGGGAAAGCAGTCCTGAAGGGGGAGGGCTCGAGTTTTGAACTGGAGGCAGCGGGAGAGACTGTTCCTTGGAAAATAGTGGGGCATTAGCCGACAGAGAAGCTGATTCTTGACATGGTGGTAACTGGGAGAGATCATTATTGATCTGAACCAGCAAAGGGGCACAGTTCTGATCTGGAGGCGATGCTGGAACCGGCTGCTTAGGAACTGGCAAGGGGGCGGAGCTCTGATCTGGAAGTGGTTGCTCAGCTTCGGAGAGAAGAGACAGCTGCTCTGGTAGCACGGACGAAAGTGGTTCCTCGAACAGGGCTACAGGGTCAAAGCTGAGAGGGGCCTGGACAATGACCTGGGTTTCTTTGGTGGTCTTGCCAGAAGCCACAGTTTCTCCTTCAAGACCTTATGAATGACAAGAGGAAGAATAGATAATAAGAAACGTACGATTTAATTTTTTCATGTGATGCATGAACGGTACGCTGTAGTACTCGGAAAAGCTGTGGCGGTCACCCAGAATTGTGCCAGGGGTGTATCCAGCTGCAGCATTTTCATTGAATGATTTGATGAAGTCCTTACCATTAGTGCCCTTACAGCAAAAGTTGTGTCTAGACGAAGCTCAAAATCAGAACGAAGCGGCCAAAAAATATTATAACACTTACCCTGTGGTTCGAACTCTGCCACTCCATGGGTCGTAACCTCCAGCTATCACAACGAATCCCCAACCAATAAACTTGTTGATATGCTCAAAGATAGATGCGAGCTCATACTGAAGACTTTCGATGATTCTGTAGAGACATACAGTTGGTACCAGCGTTTACAGAAACATAGAAAAAATGGACATTATCTTGTCAGCATCTGAAACATTAATGTCTAACGTGCTGTCCTTCATCGCCGCAATCAACTCCTTGTCCTTCTCGATGGCATTCATAACCAACTTCTTAATCTCCTCCGACTCGTTAGCCCAAGCATGCGCCGTCATTTCCTTCACAAGAAGGAGCTCGTTGCAGGGAACACCATGAGACTCAGCCTCAGTGATAACACGAGGGAGGATGCGCTCGGTGTAGTACATGTTGGAGTACTTGTGAATCGGTTGTGGAACACGAGTGGTAGAGAGTGCAAAAGTCGAGAGGCCTCCTAGCTTCCTGATATGATGACCGGGCTTGTTGTTACCATACCAGTTAAAGAGTTTCTAACGAAAATATCAGCTAAAGTCTTCCACATAAAAGAAGTAAAGACGCACCGTTCGACGTTCCTCAAGAGCCACACCCAAGGCGATGTGAACCTCCTCTACCTCCGGGTCCGGCTCCCACAGTGACTCCTCCCCATTTCCATCATCCTCCTCATCCTTGGGATCCGCAAAATCGCAACTGTCAAGACAATGGTCTGGGCCCAGGGTCAAGATATCACCAACCATTTTCGGAAAAGACTCATCCTTTGGCGAGTCCGTGATGCCGATGAGATGACCAGAAACCTTTCGCACCCTCCCTTTACGATCCAAGAAGAATTTCCCCTTCCTCTCCGGCCACCAATCCTGCCACTCTCCTACTAACTCAGCCTTGAACGCCGCCAACGTCCCATTCGTGGCACACAGTTCAAACCTAGGGATCCTATTGGATAGCATGTCGTACTGGTCATCATTCGTCCATCCTCTTTGCTTGCGGAGAGGTACTAGCTGACTGGAGCTGGTGGCAGGGATGGTCGAAGTCACAGACGAAGTGGAAGAAACGGTGGCTTTAGAGTTCTTCAACCTTTTTTTGGACATCTGTTGCCCTGGATTAGCAAGACATATGACAACAGAGCACGTGGCAGCCTACTTTTGACTGATATGAGTCTAAAAATAGCCTCGACTGATAACACGCACAAGATATCAAAATTGACTGACCTGCGGTGGGGGGAAGAAATGGGTGGGATTTGTGGACAGAGTGGTGTCCTAAGGTGTGTACTTATGCATTGTCAGATCCCTGAATTGTGTACAAGGACAATATCTGCTCTAGTATAAAGGACAGCGCGTTTTTTCCTTCACGATCATCAAACCTATCAAACTCATTGCCTCACCGCTCACTCGAAATTTTTTCAATGACTCAATTCACCCTGGAACAGCTTGCTTCTGTGTTAGCTGCACTTGGCATTACGCCACCCGAAGGTATAGATTTTTTTCTTTGGGTTCTAATTTATTGCCCTGACCTCTTATTCTGTCAGCTACACCAACTACCCACAACCCTGATTCTCCCGTCAATGACAAAAAAGCTGCCAGCACGGTAGAAGTTCCCCTGCACTCGTTCTATTGCTTTAACTGTGCCTTTCCAAACGTAGTCCCTGTCAATGCCATTCCCATCACCACCGCCGTCGTTCAACCGGCTCGTCATGGTTCAGCACCAGTCCGCCGCGACTCACCCTTGACTGGGTTGCCGTCGACCTCTCCGGTATCTGCACCCATGGCCCAGGCTACTGTCGCTCCTGCACCTGCCTCCAGTCCCACCACCACCACTGACCCCACCACCGTTGCTCCCACCATTCAGGGATCCTCCATTCCTGGCCCCTCTACGGTTAGAGCTTCTGAGGGCCCATGGTATGCTGTTTCTAAAGGCCTCGCTGTAGGGGTGTTTCAGGGATGGTAAGCTTATTTCCTTCCTGCAATGTCTGTTCGAAGGTCTCATGCATTGTTATTCAGGCAAAACATTAGCCCTTTGGTTACAGGGGTTTGTAGAGCCTGTTACTTCCATCACAGCAGTCAGGCTGCTGCCCAGGAGGCCTTCAATCAGGCTGTCGCGACCGCCACTGTGGAAATTCTCCATTAATTGGGTTTTCAAATCTTTTGTTGCTATTTTTTGGACCATCATCTTCAGTAGTATTGTGTCAATCATTTGACGTATACCTTGTCGTATTTATTAGCTTCCACTCTCGTTTGATGACAGTCTTTACTCACTTTTATCTAGTTTTCAATTGATTGGCATGTAAATTTTTTTAGTTTCTTGGTGTCCATATTTCCTTTTCCTTGCTCTGTACATATTTTTACCCAGTCCATAGTCGCTGTAGTTACTGTCCTTCTGTTGAATGTTCCCTACCTGCCGCCCTCCTCCAATATCAGTTTGCATCCCATTCCTTTTTGGTGTGACTGTGCCATTAAATTCAATCAAGCTTTTCACATCTAAATTGGAGATCCGTATTATGCTCAAGTTCATAGATATTTTTTCTTGCTGAGTCTCGATTCCTTCCTAGCAACCAGGCAAGGAAAAAGTTTGCAAAATCAACGGTTGCATATAATTTTCTACTTCACTATTTCGAGTCGTGCAGCTCGCTGAAAACCATCTGGTTTCCCCTATTATTCTCCTGGTCCTCAGGTACAGCAGTGAGTCTATATTATCGACATCTATTCCTCTGGTAGATCAGACGATATCGTCTGGCATGCCGATCATTGTTTCGAAATGCTTCCATCACCTCGACTGGTTCAGAAGATTTTCAGCTTCTAATCAGGCGACAGATTCACATTAAACTTGGTTCTCTTTTTCATAAGACTCTTGACTTCTCGGCATGGCTTCCTTTGTCAGGTGACAGATCTACATTAACTTTGGTTCCCTTGTCCACATCACAGATGACTGCATCGGGTCATGGATCTAGTCCATCAGTCCAGCTTGTGCACAACTCAGACTGTTTGTACACGAGGCCTGTCCTTCCTGCTCTGTTTCCATCTCAGAGCACGGATTCCTGAGTCCTACTTGTGCACAACTCAGGCCGTTCGTACACGATGCCCATCCTTCATTTACTATTCAATGGGTTGTGCTCCCTTCAAACACCATTTTCGAAACTATTTTCATCTACCCTGTCCCATTTTCACTTTTCTTGGGACATGAGCATTTTTATTAAAATAATTTTCAACCTCATTTTACTCATGCTCGGTACCTTGGTGTGTGTAAAGAACTGGAAAAACATCGTATTCTGCATGATACACTACATATGAATGAGATCACCATCCGTACGCTTGATAGACACTCTCAATCCAAAGATTCATTGCATGGGTGTGGATAGCATCCCTCTCCTGCGCAAGCTGGTCATGCCTTGCCTGCAACTTTGCAATCTGGGCGTCAAGAACATCCAGCATGTTGGAAGCCTCTTCGCCTGGGGATACGGTGCTCCCTGAATTGTCGGAACCTGATGCAGTGGCGTTGGTGGTTTCATCGATGGACATACTATTGACCAGCTTACCTCCGAGCTGCATAATCTTGGCGTCAACAACCGCTAGCATGTCGACCACCTCGTCCTCCACAGATTTGGCAGTGTTGTCGGTTTCTGGCCCAACGGAGAGTTCATCACTGAAAGCACCGGCGACCTCATGGATGGTCCTGAGAGTAATGTTGGCCCTCTTATCATAAGCATACCCAACCTTCGCCTCACTGCATCCATGGGTATCCATCCACTGGGACAGTTGCTAGCCACGACGGTGTAAGCAAAGAATGCCACAAAGAGAAAATATACACATACCTGCTGCAGGGACTCAATGCTCCAATGGTGCAAGCAACTGCCTGAGGATCGTTCATCCAGCACCGTGTCTGGGAACTGCGCAATGTAGCGTGGCAAAAAATTGTTCCACCAGGTCTGCATGCTTCCGGTGTATATAGCATCGATGCATGCGTCAATGTTATCCAACAAGAAGGCCTTCCGCTCACTGTCAATTTGATGGGCAATCTGGCAGTGAACTCAGCTACGAGCACTAACAGCCAACAGCGAGCAGAAATTAGAACTTACATCGAGTTGCCTTTGAATTGCATCCATATGTGTTCTTGGGTAGATGGGTACTGGCAATAACTACGAAAGTCAGTGAATACTACGTTGGCATAGGGGAAAGGAATACCAACCATCTTTGTCAGCTAGGAATAAGTGCATCGTGTTAAGGCGTGAATGAGAAGGAGGGTAATTGGACCTTTTATACCTTCACAACCACATGATAGGGAGGATCGACAGGGGCTAGTACTGTAAAACTCCAATGCTCAGTTGACAAGTCAGAGGGAGTGTAATGCAACGGAAAAATCAGAGGGTAAACACTAACCTGATGTCAGATATTGAAGTGAGAGGGGAAAAAGACCTTAACATACCAGGACGCATGCCAAATAGAAGACTCCACTTGCGATGATAGTTAGAAATTAAAGGGGGCATATAAATGTTCCAGGAGCGACTTGAAAGCTCTCATAGCATACAGAAGATGCTATCAGACTTTGCTATGGTCCTAAGGTGAACCAAGAGAGCAAAAAGAACTAGACTGTGAGTGAGGTCAGGTGAGGTCCAATACAGTGAATTGTGCCAGGTTAATACACGTTGGTGGGTCCTAAAATCAATCAGTGGCAGGCGTTCACCTATATGTCTTAACTAGCAGTGTATAAGAGTGCATACCACATGAGGAGATGATTGAGAGGATGAAAGAGCTGATACGGTGAGACAATCAGACGAAAACATGAATCGGGCATGAGAGTAAGCTTGATCGCTCCCTTGCGAACCCTCTTCACAACGTCCATATGGCACCTCGGAGAAAATATCTCACCCCTGAAGACAAACAGCAGGCCATCAGAGATAAGAGTAACTGCTATTATGTGAAGTACATGCCTGTCCATCATCTTATGGTACTTTTGACGATGTTGGCTTCCACTCAGAAATAAAGACAGCATTTCATTTCGGCATAGGACCATGTATCGTCGCCAAGGGTAAGCGGCAGATGTTCGACTTTGTGACTTATTATCTTATCTATGTCATTAGAATTGCACCTGAGCCAGGGCCCTCCAATAATGAGGCAACTACTTCCACCGAAGTGAAAGTGGTGACTCGCCTGAAGAGACTATGTCACACGAATCAATATGAACTTGACTCTATGTATGTTCCCTCATTCGTTTGTATTTTTCCATGGTAATAATGGTAGATTCTAGGTCTGTTGCTGTCCCCAAGCCTGCCTCTCCGCCAGATCCATTTCCAAAATACGGGGCGGACACGAGAGCCGTTGTACAAGAGTTTGAAGACTTTCTTAAAGGCAGGACGCCGCATGACTATGTTGAACTTCTCTTGTGACTTTATTTCAAAAGCAACTCTCACCGGCAAGGCCAGCTCTCTCTGTTTGTCGATCCCCTCGATGACTTATATCAAATGCAAAAGAATTATGCGGAGATTGTCACCAAGGCATTACAATCCAATGGTTCCAGCGAGCGGCAGCAAAAATTGGCCTGCACTGGAGAGCCCATTGGATGTTTAGTTCGTTGGCTGGAGGATATTTGGCATGTAGCTATTGATGGTCCTGAGAAGTTGAGGCTTGCGTATGGCAAAAATAGGTTGAAATGGCAGTGGGATTCTATTGACGTAGCTACAACAATCTAAATCTGCTAATTCACCATCCTGAAAGCGAGCTCATGTCTTTTATACTTCTCTCTCAATCCTTCCGGACTGATCATCACCTCACAAAGCATCTCTTCCAGCCAACCCACCAACGTTCGTATAGGCTCCCAGACCAAACGATAACGTTTCATCTCCTTGCCCATGCCCACACAATTGAGTATGACATTCTCATATTCTTGAAGAGACTGTTCGAGGTATGAGATCTCTAAGACTGCATCATCGAGGAGGCTGCGATACCCTTTGGGGCGATTCTCGGTCAGTGTTCCCATGTACTCTGTATATACTGTGCTGGCGTATCCTGACGGTGATCCGTTTGTGATTATTCCGAAACAGGCTGAGATTCAGTCGATTTGGCCCATCGCCTCAGCTAATTGGGGACTCTGCCTGTAGAGACAGCGTTCATGGGGGTAGAGCATAGAGCATAGACAATGTACTGTGCATGGGAATACCCACTATTAACTTCAATGTCAATCAGATGTGCAGCCCTTCGAATGAGAGGCTCCAAGGATCTACAAGGTTGTTAGTTGGCACAGAGCATATGATAGTTACAAAGGTACTCACTTCGCATTGACTTGGTGCTTCTTCTGCCAGTGATACGTGTCTTGCCGTCGTTGATTAATTAAGTGGCGATTCCTGGGATATATTGAGTACTGGTAAAAGCAGTCATGCATACGAATTACTTGGCATAGCTATGGTGGCTGCTTGCATTATGAGCCTCTTGGCGCTCATCTGCCTTAGCAGGGGAGTCTCTATGCAGCGTAACCATATTCGATGGGAGGCGCAAGATGAATTCATCCTCCGACGCGGCAAGACCGCTAATCTGAGTAGCTGGTGGTGTTTGTGCACAAGTCAGGGCTGGGTAGCAGGTCTGTACACTGGTCAGAGAAGTTACTTGTATGCACAAGACAGAATACACCCTTGTACAAATGTCTGCATGAGACATCCTTATAAAGAGGTGAACAATGAGTTAAATAGACAAAAACCAAACCATCTGTTATCACAATTCGCAACCACCTAAGCGTGAGCGTAATGTGAGTATTTTGTTCATGGCAGAGAACACTGGACTTATTGAGCTAATACAGGTCTCCGCCGCCCATCACCAAGACCCAAAAACAATTCCTGCAACCTTATCTCCTTGAGTATTGCCGTGTAAAGAAAAACGCTCGTACCAATCCCAAGGCCTATGCTCAGTTCCAATCACAGCTTTGGTTGGTCTGGCATGACTGATTTCAAAATGATCTCCACCATCCAGATCCACTAGATAAGGATGCTCGTGCCTATTGGAACGCATGTCGCCAAAATGTAGGCCTATCAACGTTCGCTCTGTTTCTCTGACTCGACGCTGACCTACCCACAGGATCTTGCCATGATTGTTCAATCACTCGAATTCTGGAACCCGTTTTACGTGGCAGGCTTATCGCGAAGGTCTGCAAACCAGAATGCAGCAAAGCGTGTCGTATTGGAAGCCAAAGGGGCAGAGACAACAGCCGATGAAGGCGGAGGGCAGGAGGAAGAGATGCTAGGAGCTTCCATCAGGAGGAGTGAAAGAACTCCCAAACTGTGCAGGCTGTCTGATAACAACTTTTAAATAGTACCGTTTGTTACCTTCTGTTATTCACCATATGTTTGACATACACATGAAACATACTTCGGTCTTCCTAAATGGGACTCTTCCTCTTCTTCTTTGACTGCTCGGACCGAATTGGTGTTCTTGGATAAAATCTGGCTATATGTCGGTGGTCTTGGTTTCTTGGACTCTCGTCAACTGCTGTCTTAATGTCTAGTTGCTTTCTGGCACAGTCGCACTGGAGATTAAAATCTCTTCCAAATATGCGGTCCTCTCAGATAAAATCTGGCTATATGTCGGTGGTCTTGGTTTCCTGAGCTTAAGAGCTGTCATCAAGTGCCATCTTCATGTCCGGTTGTTTTCTGGCAGAGTCATGCAGGAGATTAAAATCCTTTCCAAACGAGTTCTCTGTAAGCAGCACTGGTCCCTCCACTTGCACGACTTACTCTCATGAACTATAATTGCAGAAAAAAGGGCGGCCGTGCACCAGTGGACATCATTGATGAAGCTAGCGATGAAGAGGAAGTTCGTATTCATGTCCCTCGCTCCTCACAGACATATCACCATCACACGGACTATTCCTCTCAAGTCGGTTCTTCCGGCGTCAGTGTGCGAACAACCACCATAGCGATACAGCCGGAACCTATCTCTGCCATGAATACGCAAGATCCTCCTTCGCCTCCTCCAGAACCTACTTTCTATGATACTTCTTCATTACTCACTGGTCTCTCCGGGCTTTCTTTCCTTGACCCAGACTATACCACTCCTGCAGAGGTTGCCCATGGTGTGGAAGAAGGAGTGCGGCATCCTAGGCCTTTAAGCGTAAGTGGAAGCTTTGTACCTCAAGAACTTGTGGCTGAAATTTAACTAGGACCACCCACTTTTAGTATGGACATCCCAGTGTGAGGCATTCATGGCAGAGATCTTACGTTTGGAGGCACCAGCCTCAGGAATTGAGCAGTGCCATGTTTGTCATGCTGATCAAGGCCAATATTGTTGTGTCTCTTGTTTTGATGGATGAATGCTTTGTGCTAGCTGCACCGTGGATGGTCATCAGGCGATGCCTTTTCACAAAGTTGAGGTAATGTGAAAATTCTGCTTGGCCAAGTCTATGCTTACAAGCCATTTTCAGGAATGGACAGGTACCTACTTCAAAAGAATGACTCTGGCGAACCTCAGCCTAGTAATACAGTTAGGTCACCGACTTGGCCAGAAATGTGTTCTTCCAGCCGTCATCAAATCCTTTGTGGTAATTGATGTTGATGGTATTCATATGGTGCAGATGGGATTTTGCAACTGTACACAATCCATTGAGCGACAGGTTCAATTACTTAGGAGCCACCTGTGGCCCGCGACAACAATTTATCCTCAAACAGCTGCCACATTTCATGTTCTCCACCTATTTCAAGTTTTGTCTTTCATGTCCAAGGTTTCTGCATACGAGTTTTATCACACATTGGCATGCCTCTTGGATAACACTGGACTATATATCCCTCCAGTACGTCTGTCCTTTCCATGCTTCTTTTCTCACATCTCACCATGACACTAGGATCGGTATGATACCTTCCTACGGATAATGCGCGAGTGGTGTCACTTGCGCTCTTTGAAACGTTTCGGCCGTGGCCATGAACCTGGCAGGATTGCAGAGATGAGGCCCGGTGAATTGGTACTACGTTGTCCTGCCTGTCCCCATCCTCATGTGAATCTACCCTGTGGTTGGAATGAAAACCTGTAAGTGTATCGAGAAGTATCATGGCGCAGTGTTAATATCAGATTCCAGAGGAAAATGTTGGCTGTATTGCCTCTTTCTCGCAGTTGATGCCAATTTTCGGCTCTGCCGCCTGAACGTATCAAATGAAGATAATGACCCGAGTTTGAACCGTGGCTATGGTTACTTTGTCGAGGAAAATTCCTTTCGGTTGTTTCTCGAGATGTATGGCAAAATTATCCCGGTGGAAGAAAAAAGCACTTGCAACAACCATGATGCTGTCAAGCTGGCCAATAGCCGTGGAGGTCAAGGGGCAGCAGCAACCGGTGTCAGAGCTGTAGTATGTGGTCGCCACGATATGAAGCGTCCTTTATCTGTTGGTGATCTTCAGAAGGGTGAAAGGTATGTCTGGTCTCTGTATGAAGGATCCAAGTACTCATAATGGTCCTGCCTAGGTACATCAACATGGACTACTTCGTCTTGTCAACCCTGACTTGTGATACGCCACCCGACCTTGTGATTTCGTATGATATCGCATGCCAGTGGCACAAGAACCTTTTTGTACGTATCAGCAAATATCCAACGGATCTGCAACCTGGCCAACTGGAGCACAACATACTCTATCTTGTGCCAAAGTTCCATTTGCCAGTGCATATCCTCAAGTGTTGCAACGACTTTTCCTTCAACTTCTCAGCAAAAGTAGGACGAACAGATGGAGAAGCACCTGAGAGAACATGGGCTGCAACCAATGCCTTGGCAAATAGCACCAAGGAAATGGGTCCAGGATCATGTCAGGATACCCTTGATGACCATTTCAGGGACTACAATTGGCGGAAAATTGTGATCATGGGTACGTTGTTCTCTGCTACCATATTTGACATTTCAGTTGATGAACATGAACAGCACAGACACTCTGTGAAAATTTTCGGGATGCGTTCAAAGCATGTGCAGAGCATGTAGCTGAATTTATAAGTTATGAAGATGCTCTGCAAAGCAAACATGCAGATGCCATCATCCAGTGGCACTCTATGGTGTTAACTTGGGAGCAGGATCGCTCGCAGCCTAATCCTTTTGCCCCAACTTTACGTCGTAAGTCTTCTATCTTGCCAATACCACTTTTGCTCATGTAATGTGAAATTAAGCTGTCACCGAAAATGCAGTATGCCTTGAGTTGGTCAGAGAAGAAAAGCAGGAAACCAAGATCGAAATTCACCATGATGTTAGTCCTAGCGAATTCATCGCTCAGGGTCTGCAATTAGAAGAACCACAGTATGTTGTCCAGTGTGTCTTGAAGTCCCTTGTCTGACAATATCTTAAGGGTATGACTGGTCGATGATATGGCTGTACTTGGAGCACACTCGACTGATCTCCAACGTACTAGAGTTCAACAACAAGCCAACCGCATTTCTCACAAGATCGAAGCTTGGATTGATGTACAGAAGGTGTACATGCCAAGAACTACTTTACTACACACTAGGGATGATGATCGTCGTGCTCCAGGTGTTGAAGTCCATACCTCCAAGATACCTTTATACCTTCCTTCTCATGCGCTGCGACTCAATGCTGTACAAACCAACATTCAAAACACCGTCATTGATGATGAGCGCTGGTTGCGTCTCACCCAGGCACATGATACCTTAGCAACTTTACGTGATCACCTACTGTTGAAATTGTATCTGGTGATATGGCACCAAAGGTTTTCCCATGGACAGCATTATGGGACCAAAGCAAATGTGCTGATGCATAGGGTGGAGACCAAAATACAAGCAGATGCTGCACATTACAGGCGGGTTTACATGGCCTTGGAAGCGGTATCTACAGCGTTAGGTTGGGAGGAGTGGAAGGCAGGACTATCTCCCTTGAAGGCGGAAGATGTCCATGGTTTGGATTCATATAATGAGGCGACCTCGGAGGGACAGCATACATTGTCATGGATATGGAAGACAAACCTCCAGGGAGGCGAGAAAGGACTACAAGAAGGTGAATCAATTTGAAGTCAAAGAAATAGTAATCACGTACTGACATGCCTTTGTTCAAGCGTTGCACATTGAATGGTGCAAGTCCCGCATGCGTGCTCAGCGATGGCAAGAGGAGTGCGATCTTCTGACAGAGGAGATCCGTCGGGTTCAAGTCACTTTCCAATATTATAGTGGCATGTGGAAGGGCTGAGCCACTTGCACAGATTTACCAGGAGCAAAAGCATATGCACTGAGGCAGGCCACTCTCTGGTCAGACCTTAGTGCAAGTGTGGCAACTCAATGGAACAAAGTATTGGCCTCTTTGCCGGCACCTTCAGTTGACTTTGATCTGACAATGGATCTTGACTTGTGTGGCCATCAATCGTAGGTACCACATTCTTCGGGCTTCCAATAATATCTTCCTTGTACTACTTGTACTGCTTCTTTACCATTTTGTATTAACATTCAAATGTAACTGAAAGGATTTATCTGTGCTCTTCACGCAGTGTAGTACATGAACTCAAAGTCTAGATATGTAGATCCTCTAGATTCCAGCGCTCCTCCACCTCCACAAAATAATGTTCAACTTCCTTGAACTGTCGCGTGATCATATCCTCGAGCTCATCGAGCTTTGTGAACACTCCTGCCAGGGTCCAATTTTCAGGCGGCGGGCCGTTCTCAACCCAGCGATTCTTGAGGCCCATAATATACAAAGTAAAGATTTCCTGGGTAGTTAAACATAAGCAGCGCAGTCGAGATGGACAGAACAAGACATACAATTTTCCTTTGTTCCTGATCTGCCCTCATCTGCTTGTACTCCTTGGCCGTTTGTGTAGCACCACGTTCAATGGGCCATTCGATGAACCATTCATGCCAGATGTGCTGGAAAAAGGAGCGGATCCGGTTCTGGCGAACAGCACGTTCGAATCAAGGACCTTTGGCAAGCCAGAGCCGCTGTTCAGGGGTATATTCCAGCTGGATTGCGTATTCGTAGAGTCCGGGGATGCGTAGGACTCCAATGATTCCGCTGGGTAAAGAGTGAGCAAGAGTAATCAAAACAGCATAGTTATATACTCTTACACTTCGAGGGTGTGTAGATCATTGTAGGGATGATAGAAGAGCACGGTCCTGAACAAGGCAAAGTAATCAATAAGGTGAATAGTACAGAAGTGTCAGACAAACGGTGAGAATGGGGTAGAAAAATCATCAAACAAAGACTCAAAGTCAAAAAGTGATCTCATGTCGAGCTGGTCACTGTCAGCAGATGTTGGATCATCATCGGTAGCATGGATGGCTGTGGTATCAGACAACTGTTCTGCGAGAGGCATGGCGTTTAGATGGATGAGCAACAGCTCCAGCAGGGCAATATATATCCAAAAAGGACCTACCCAAATAATGTGGCACCAGGCTTTCGGTGTACACAACGCAGGCTGTTCACCTGTGTACAATGTAGGCAGATTTGTGTACAAGTCAGGAGGATTCCTTGTGCACAGTGGGAAATAATAACAGTTGAAGGCATTTGTGCACAGTGCAGGAGAGCTGTCTGTACAGAGCCAGAGACCTATCAGAGCTCACAGTGGAAGAAGGCACAGTTGTACACAAACCAGGAAGCCCCCCCATGGACAGTGAGAAGCCATAAGATTGCGGGTTATTTGTGCACAAGGCAGGCGAGCCATCTGTACACAAAATTGGAGAGCCATCAGCGCTCGTAACTGATTGTCAAGAGGTAGACGAGATATACTCTAACCTCTAATACATCTCAAAGGAAATGTTTTCGTTGAATTGAAATGAACTGCTATAACCTGAGTGTCTATTTCACAGAGAGCCATGATGAGAGCATGGTGAGTGTATATACAACTGGTTGGTGCTTAGCTGGTTTATGGGCCAGTTCTAACCTATGTTCTTGTTGAGTATATGCAGCTGCACCATGACATGTTTTTGGAGACCTCAGAACAACATATAAGATTGAACGGTTGATGAGGTGAGGCACAAGTGACAGTCAAAGATCAGATTGAGCTGGATAGATCGAGGATGGCGGCTGTCTGCAGGCACAGAGATCCCATCAAATTAGTACGATGATACTACGATCGAGCCAAAAATAAAAGCCAATACAAAAGGGGAATGGAAAGAGTGCAGAGCGGGCAATGACGAGCGGGAGGGCGGAGCATAGGGTGTAGGGAAGGGTGGGAAAAATCGAGCGTGACAGCTTTGATGTGGCTGTGCATGGGCTGGGCGCTTGTGTACAAGCCAGTCCCTGATGTGTGCACAAATCTTGCGTCCTGTAGTTACAGGGATTTGTACACAAGTCCATTCCCTGATACTACAGGACATTTGTGCACAAAATGGACGGTAGAGCCTCCCATCCTCAATACTCAGACCTCTCACTGCGAGAATTATCTGTTTACTGGGTGGAACTGTCCCGTTGCAGTCCAATATGCACGTGGATTATTCTTCGTTCAGGAGAAAACAGGTACTATACACAAAGTCGAGCCAGGCATACAGGCTCGTTACAAGAAATGGATAACGCTGGATGGCTGGACAGACAATGACCGTGGAGCTAATATCCATGACTTCACCGTCACAGAAGATGGATCTAGGTTATTAGGATTGACCATCGACGCAAAGAAAAGAAACGAGTTCTTACTACGAGAGTGGGAAACATCAACCGGTACTCTACTCTCTACATTATCATATGGCAAGTTTCAGTCTTTGTCATGAATCACACCACTCAGTATTTGGGATACAGGATTCGACTACTCAGACCCTATCAGATTAATCAACATCATGCGAATTTCGCCTGACGGCTCAAAGGTTGCCTTCAGTCATTTGGGGCTCATTTCAAGCCGGAATTCACGCCGGCATTCATAACATCAACACCATCCAGAAGAGATATTAGGGACCCCATAATATTCAGAGACGTGACATGCTTGACGTGGTTTCCTGATAGCGATCGAATTGCCTACCTTCGAAGTTCGCAATACTTCTGTTGTGATCTTGTTGTTGAACGCCTTACGAGCGGACAGAGCACTACGATTTATCGTTCGCATAATCGTTCAGTATACAATGTTTTGGTCACTGCTGAAGGATCCAGGGTGATTACTCAGGATAACGAGTCATTCAGAATATGGGACGTTTCGGATTTGTAGCCTATTCACCTATACTGTATTACATACTTCCTCTCCCACGATTCATCGATCATCCTTCGAGACAACATTATGAAACAAACATTACGTAAAATCCAACAGTTCGACGATTGTGTTGAGCTCTGAGGCCAAAGGCCCACTGTTTGCTAATTGCTCGTCCTCACCCAATACAAAAGAAATAAAGAAAAATGCATTACTGATGACAACCAACAGAACTTAGACGCGATAACGAATGTAGTCATTCATCATATAGGGCATACGTATAACAGCATAGCATAGATACACCCAGGATCGCAGCGCCAAGCTCTGGTAGGGTCGCAGTAGTCACCGGAGTTTAGGCAGTGGTCGCCCTACATAGCGTGTAAGCATATGGAAACAGACGAGAAGAGGTAAAGACGAACTTGTGGTGTGATGCTTTAATTGCGGCAACCTTGGCCTTCTTTTCAGAAACGCGCTTGGCAATCAGAGCACTGAGAAAATAATTAACCAACGAAGAACTTCAAGTAGAAACAGAATACTCACTCATACTCCGACTTCTGCTCCTTCTGGTGCTCCAATTTTCTACGCTTAACAGAGCGAAGGTGGCGACGGCGTTGGAGACGAATGGGAGTGACGAGACGTTGGATCTTCGGAGCCTTGGTGTAAGGCTTCGCGTTCTCCTTCTTCCCGCTCTTCACCTCCCGACGGATAACGTACTTGCGAACATCATCCTCCTTGGACAAGTTGAACATCTTGCGAATGTTCGTTGCCCGCTTGGGACCGAGACGCTTGGGGAGGATGGTATCGGTGAGTCCGGGGATTTCTGTTTTCACGTTAATGCAAGTAGAAAACGAAGCGGAAAGTGTACACACCAGCTTCTCCCTGCTTCACGATGACCAAACTCAACACAGCGATATCCGGGCCCACTATGCACCCACGAACGGACTTTCGCTTCCTTTCACCCGTCCGGCGAGTGCGATAGCACGAGTGACCGTCGGACAACAACAGACGGACACGGTAGGGGAGAAGCACACCCTGCTTCATCGGGAAACCCTGCTTGTCGTTTCCTCCAGTAATCCGGAAGACGTATCCCTTGAGCTCGTCAGAGATGTTGTCACCAGGAACTTCTTGCGAGATTTTTTTGTCCATGAAATCACGGACGCGGCGGTCATCATCGATGTCGATGAGTTTTTGGGCGCCGGTGGCGGGGTCTGGAGATGGAATTTAATTGGATTGTGACCGAAGAAGGATAGAGTATACGCACTGGCGATGTTGAGCTTCATCTTGTCCTGCTCGCCTTCAGTCTTTTGCGTGGACGACGAACGAAACGACGAGGAGCAAAATGGAGGGAAACTGTTTGTTTGGTTTCAATGGCGCAGCGACACGATCCTGGTGGCTGACTGTACAGTTGTCGGGAGTTGCCGATACCCTGGACTGTTGTCCGGTCTGCCTTTGGATTTTTGTCGCCTCAAGCAAATACCAACCCGTCGTCCCCGTCTTCAAGAAAAAAACTAGCCAGCCATGGGTCGCATGCACGCTCCCGGAAAGGGTATCTGTGCGTGCTCGTTTCCTTTGCTGTCTGTATTTTCCTTGCTCATCGTTGTCTACAACAGCCTCTTCTGCTCTCCCATACCGCCGGGCCCCCCCATCATGGCTCAAAACGACCCCCGAGGACGTCGTTGATCACATTGTCAAGTTGGCCAGGAAGGGTCTCACCCCCTCGCAGATTGGTGTTGTCCTCCGTGACTCGCACGGTATCCCCCAAGTGAGGTTCGTTACGGGTAACAAGATTCTGAGGATCCTCAAGTCCAACGGTGCGTTGCTTGCCTTTCGCCTGTATCCGTATCGCTGAGGCTTTTCGTGTTTTCTTTCTATCATTTTGTGTTGACTTGAATGTCGATGCTTTATCTTCATTGCCTTTTGTTTGGGGATAGGATTGGGCCCATCCATCCCTGAGGACCTTTGGCACCTCATCAAAAAGGCGGTCGCCGTCCGCAAGCATCTTGAGGTTAACAGGCGAGTCCATTTCTCACCTTGATGACCAGAGTACTGAACCTCGCTTGTCCACTTTCCTAGGAAGGACAAGGACTCCAAGTTCCGCCTGATTCTCATCGAGTCGCGTATCCACCGTCTTGCTCGTTACTACAAGACGAAGCAGCAGATCCCTCCTACCTTCAAGTATGACTCGGCTACTGCGTCGACGTTGATTGCTTAAATGGAGGATGTTGGTTTTCGTGGAGACTTGTGTAGCCATGTTACTATGATATTACCAGATGCTATGCATATGCTTTTCGACCTCCGCAGAACTAAGTCAAGTTAATCCGCAGAGTTGCATAATAGTGAAGCCTCGATATCTTTTCCGTTGCCTTGAAGTTTAGAGTAGTGAAAACGTGTACTTTCATTTGTTAATGGATAAGCGTACTAGCTGCGCTTTATTCAGGCAAAATATTTCGCGCTTGCCTGCAAAGGTGCATGGTGTCACCTGCCCAAGGTTCCTTTCCGAACACCGTACACACGTTTCGCCTGAGACCGCACGTGTAACGCCTTCGTCTGAGCCTTTAAATGAGACGCCGTTCCATGCTTGTCTTCTCGCCGGTCTTTTCTACGGTCCTCACGTCCAGTATGCTTGTCTTGATTCTTCTGGCTCCCTTGGTTCACGCTGTAAACGTTACCCACTATGCGCCTCGCTCTACGAACATCAACAACCTCACGTATGTAGTGAATGGAACCACCGACGCCCCAGGAATATACAATACCTCTACGACACCGGACTCGGAATATGGCACGTACAACTGGTGTAATATGCCTCACGTTCGCGTTAATGAATATGTGTACGTCCAACCGAAACATGAGTGCTTTCGTAGATATCCTAACCAACATGGTGCAGAACTCCGTCCTCGAATTACACCCTCGAATACGTAGAGATTATTCAGAGGCATCACAAGCGGACACCGTATGCATCCAACACGTTCTTCAAAGAGGACGTGGAGTGGAGCTGTGACGGTTCAGGTCCCGTCTATTATGCCCAAAGGTACGTGATTCGGGGGGTTCATGTCGAATCGCCATATAATTTCTCTAACAGCACCACCGGACCGGCCGTCTCGGAGATCCAGGTAGCTTTTTTGATGCGTGCAATTGAATTGACGACTGACTTCTCGATTTCAGTGGCAGGCATCTTCTAATCCTATAAACCCCTGGACAGACAGTGTTGGTCCCGGATTCGTAGGGTCTACGTGAGCATTTAATACTGATCTATTCGTGAACCCTCCTTACCACCACTCTAAAACGCAGCTGTCAATTCCCTCAAATTACGACGGAAGGTCTTTTCGATAGTTTTACCCATGGTGTCGTATGTTTATCCATTCTCAGACTTACCTTCGCTGAGATGGACCTTAGGATCTGAGACAAGTCTACGCGTCTCGACTCGGACTTACCTCTGAACTTCGCACATCTCCAGCTCAAATTCGTATGTCGCTTTCTCAGATTACTGATATTTACCTTGATCTGAAACAAAATTCTTGTTTAGGTGTAACTAACAACGTCATCACTTCTCAAGTCGCTGGAGGTCTCGTCAAAGGCCTCTTCCCCGACACTACTGACGCCCAAGTCCTGATCGAACGAAGCGGAATTGACTTCCCTCGAACCCAGCCTGTCTTGCACCAACGCCATCAAGCCAGGTACAGGTGATAAGGGTGCAGGCGATGAGGGTGTCTGGCAAGGCCATTTGGCTGCAGCGCAGTCGTTGTACGATAAACTAGATTCCGTATCGGGAATCGCGTCCAACGATAGTGCGAGCTGGCATGTCAGTTTTGATCAGTGAGTGGATAGTTAGACTTACGGGAGAGATACTGATATCCGGGTTTAGCTACTATGATAACTTGAGTGCGAAGCAGTGTCATGGAAAGGCATTGCCGTGCAGTCTGAACGAGACTGATACGTGCGTTACACAAGAAGAGGTTGGTTATCTATCTTCCTCGAGCAAGACCCCCTTTTCATTACTTCTCATCCGTAGGCGAACGAAGTCTACCGCCTCGGCAACTGGGAATATTCATACATGTACCGCGACTCGCTGAATTCCACGAAATTTAGCACGCTCAACTATGGCGCGTGGTTGCTTGAATTGAAGGATCATCTCCAGACTGCAATGAATGCTTCGAATGGAGTGAGTTTATCAAGCCTTTTTGGCATGTATATTATTTCTAACGGATCGTATCTGAGTAGACCAAATATTTCCACAATGTCCGCTTTTACGTTGACTTCTTCATGTTGCGTTAGTTGATAACTCCTACAGGTTGCTCATGATGGTTCCATGGCCTCTCTCCTCGGGTTCCTCCAAGTAGCAGAGATGGTTTGGCCTGGGATGTACGTATTCCTATCTTCTTGCAGCTTTCAGCCTATCTAAAGTGCGAACAGGGGATCTGAGATCATCTTCGAGTTGTACAGTGACACGGACGGCATGCATTTCCTCCGCTGTCTTGTGGGGTGGTCAGCCGATGGAGACCTCCACGCCTATGGGGATGCTGAATATGATTCCGGCGGAAACGTTGATTGATTGTGAGTTGCTTCCTTGCGGGTATTTAGTAGGTGAGCTAACATTGTTTGTCACGGTAGATATTGATGAGATGGTCGGGAGTGGGGAGGAGTTGTATGTGGCGTGTATGTCGTAGTATGTATGCACTGCTCCGCGCCGTTAGGCTTCAAGAAGGTGATGTTCAAGACGACAGTTTCTTTCATGTAGATGTGTGGATGAAGTCATGATGATCAAGATAATATATATACAATCAAAGAAACGTGCAATATAGTAACGAATCTTGGAACTCCCATTCATCATTGCAGAACGAGCCGCGAGAGGACCCTTCCCTGGGTGGTTCAACGTAGACGCGCGCACGGTAGACTGATTCAAGAAAATGTATGAAGCGATGATCTAGAAGAATCAGTGAGTCGCTATCCAGTGACTATTACACCCGCTATTCAACTACTGACTCCGACGTTCAAGTACGTACTTGGTACTTGGGACCTGCAACAAGACAGTCTCCAGTGCAATTTGATGGACCAGCGCAGTACGTCCTCAGCCACTCTAACCGGAACAAGTCCGACCTAGCTCGAAGACATGACTCTTCTCTCTGGAGTTTTTGTTGGAACGGTCTGGAAGAGGCTTTCGTTCCATACTGTACTCAGAAATTTAACAACAACTTGTATACAAGTATATCGAAATATTCGAATGGAGGCGTCGGTGCTGTACCGTTCTTTGCGACTCCCGCGACTGAACGCGATACACACAAGATGTTGGAATATCGCCCACTTACATGGATCACCTGGCAGCTTCGGGCACGCAGCGTTTAAACGAATTTATGGGGATGAAATAGTATAGACGTTAATGACCCTCGGATCTCTGTTCGTGTATTGGCAAAGCGCACCAGTGCGCTTCGAAGGCTGGGTTCGAGTCTCAGCCAGAGATTTTAAAATATTTGGTTTCCGATTGTTTGCCAGCAGTAACGTAGTTCTGATTAAATTCATGGACGGTGAAAGTGTCTGGCCTCCGTCCTTGTTCTGGGGCACCTGTATTTCAAGTTTTCTTTGCACAAGCACTGCTCTCCGTTTCTCCCCTTGTTTTCCCCTTCAAAACATGGCCTTCAGTGGGATTTCGGGTTCAATTCCGAACGAATTGTCTGCCATTAGGACATCGTATTGGCTTAACTCAGAAGCTCATACTATTATTACACTCCCAGAATCGGCAACGGTTCGATCTGGTTCAAGCGTTTGGTGCAAAACTTATTATGTATTGATCACTCGTTTACGGACCGCGGGTTATCAGAATTAGAACTTACAAGTGGTAAAGACATTAAAAATTGGCAATGTAAAGGCAGGGAAGAGGAGGAAAGAACAGCTAAATATAGCAGTGATTGCACGCACGGTGGCAGAAGAATTGCAGAATGGGGAAGTTATGAAGATTCACCTTTTATGCACCAACGCGAGCGCTCCAATGTCCATTCCCATGGATCACAGGCGTCTGCGAAGGAAGGGTAACAATCCGACTCGTAAGACGCTCACAAGTCATGGTCCCGTCAACATCCGACTTCAAAGCAGCAACACGCACCCCGGTGAAAAGACCATGTGTCACATCGGTGGATTCTATGCGGACCTCCAGCGCGATCTGATGCTCCTTGCATGAAGAAATAAAGATACGCGAGGGGCTGCCAATATCATTGCTCGCACTCTGGGAAAGAGGCCGAAGTACTGGTGGTTCCGAATTCTGAGACAGGGTTCTCCTCATCTGTATGAGCGGATCCGCATGTTGAACATCCCCTGGCTTACAGCTCAGTACATCGACGAATGTTCCACCATGACAACAATCGAGCACAAGTGTGAGAGTAGCCCGTACACCGGAGGGAATCGAGATCGTGATTGGTTATAATCAAATACCACTTCCCTGTCGATCATGGTGCCTCGATCAATGGGACAGATAGCCCCCAAGAGTCATGACAAGCTCCTGCATGAGAGACGAACTCGCATCAGTCGCATATACGGACCAAGAATATCGGGTGTCGTATCCAGCACTGTAGTATAGTGCAAAGCTGTCATTAGGATCGGCATCACCGACCGGCTCGCGAATGGCTCGAAGGATATTTGCGCGGGTTGGTCGCTGGGCCGTGTCGTCGGTCAGGGTAACGATGTCGTGTGGACAGACTTTGTAATGTAGAATGGGAACGTCATAGAGAGCCTTAGCGTCGTTTATGGGTGCGTTGTCATGTCGGAAATCGGACCGACAGGAAACACTAGGAAATCGGACCGAAATATGAGCTGAGTAAGCACTTAGTAAGCTAGTCAGCTGCCGCAGGTGACACATCATGCACAGCAGACAAGCTGAGTAAGCACTGCACCACGACATGCCTACTAGCAGGAATACTCTGACTAATGCTTATGCAGGGAGCCCGAAGGATGAGTAAGCTAAGTAGCTAAAGATAGGACAGCTAACATGTATAAAAGGACCAGAAAAATTGGAATAAAGAACTTTTACACACGACAGAGAACACAGCATTATATTCAGAACTTAGGCGGTCAGAAACCGCAAGCATTTTAGCAGTCACAAAATCAACCGGATTTTGTGAAATCAGTCAACAAACAGTCAGAACATCAGTCAGTAGCCAACTACCGTACAGTTGGCAAAGCATTATTAGCAGAATCAAGAATCAGAGGCCGAACTCTGATTATTTTCAGTACTGAAACCGTTCAACATAGAATGCCCTTGGAGTCAAGCAGAGCATAGCATTCGTGCTGATTCCCCGAACTCACACTATCGTACTAATATTCACAGTACGATAAATTTCTAGTCACTCATAAATTCCCGTGACAGCGTCAAAAGTGTTGCTAGCATATGAATTGTTACGATTTATTCGTTTTTCTTCGTTTTACTCAGCTTGATTACCTATATGCGATCACCACAGACATTTTCTCACAGTACTATTTTTAGTTTACTCAACGTGTATTTAAGGAGAGCCTCAGCTGGCTTAAACCCCAGCTTCGGCTAAGGTTTAATCTACCTAACATCAAACTCCGTTCTTCGTGACTATTTGTCCCATCGACTTTCATCGCCTTTGACTTGCTAGAGTATCGTCTACCGAAGTGCGAGTAGCGATCCTAGCATGATCTAAGTCGGTTAGAGTTAGTGGCTAACATTTAGCCGAAGCTCGTCCTATGTTGCCCAACGACTCACTGTTGCCCAACATTTTATTCTATATCCTTCTCTTCGTCGTAGCGGACTGTACGCTACGTTTCCTATTCCGTGACCCCCTTGGCCTGGTTATTGTAACCATCTTGCGGGTCTTCCTTATCTGCGTATATATCCCATCCCCAGTCGTTGCAGGACTCCTCCTGTTGCTCTGGGTTGGATTCCTACGCCATTTCTAAAAACACGAAACCTTTCATCCTCACGCTTCAGCTCGCCTCTATATTAACAATCCTGTTGTTAATATTCACGAGCACCTCTAATGATTGCGAAATCCTGTTGATGAACGGCTCAAACTATGAGACCGACCTCAGCTTGATTATCGCGATCCTCATCGTTCTTACCATACTCGCTGTCTACCAGCTTGCATGGTCAATCGTCGATTTATGCCAAGGATAGATCCACATATGGATGCCCTGGTCCGACTCCATTCTCGCCGTCTTCGCCACTTTTACACTCTTTTTCTTGTCCATCTCCTTGTACCATCTACTTCGCTGTTGCCGTCAACAGAGAAGGGTACGACCACAACTGCCCTTCCACTACGTGCCCAGCGCACCTGCCTATCCACCACCGGTGATCGACATCCCGGCGGCATCACAACAGACCCTACCCTCAGAACCCCCTCAGCTAGAATTAGCATCCCTGTATGGAGAGTCCCTCTACGGATCGTCGCGACCCAGCTCGCGATCCTCCGAGTCGAGCACCGACTCCTACAGAAGCATTACCAACGAGTCAACAGACTCTGTTGACATCACCGATACCCGGGGCGTACTCCTCGACCAAGGAGACTCGCCCCTACCAGGTCTCTTCGACCAGTCTCCAGTCGAAGGCAAGTCAAGCCGCGACAGAGCCCGAGGACCCGACACCAGGCCTCTGGACGAGGGCGAAGAAGAAACTGATACCGAGTTCGAGGGGGACGAGCTCACCGAGTTCGAAAGAACCTGCCTCGACGACCTCCTCAACGACATCTACCCAAACACGGAGGAAGATGCAACCTATACCGGAGACAACTGGAGCGGAAGGTCTTCAACGAAGTGGGTTGCTGCCAAGTGGGGAGATCCCGACCTCGGGGCAGAGCGAAGAAGGTTTATACAGAGGCAAGAGGACGACTACGACAGCGATTCCGGAGAGCTCAGCCTCGGGGCCTCTGCAGCTACCACCAGTCCAACTGACTCACAGTCTCTTCCAAGGTCCTGGCCGACCGATAGGGGAGAGCCAGTTGCCTGGCACCCTCGCACCAGTTGGGTCTACGCCGACCAGCGGGAAGAGGCTGCTGTGGCCAGAATCACGCCCGGAGGAGAGTCCGACCAGATCCCTGAAGGCCCAGAGACCCCCACGATCACTCCCGCCATCCCCTCGAACGAGCCGACGAGTGGGGAGCTTTGGAGCGAGTTCCCAGACTACGACGCCGAGGAACTTGGAACAGTTACCGTTTCTGAGCGACTCGCCGGAGTCTCCAATTGGGAACCCTCAGTCGCGGTGAGAGCCTTCGCCACTCCCGTACCGGCCTCCCAGTGCCCATGGCCCCTCCTCTATCACACGTACGTCAAGTCCCTCCAACTCTCTCGAGATGCCCGGCTTGCCCCAGAGATCGAGGCCCGAATGGAGCGAGGCAGAGCGCATGACACACGCATCTGACGTGCTGAAGAAGACGCGCTCCAAGGACCAGGAGGTTGGTGGGACTTACCCCTCGAGCCCGATGCCACCAACGCCGAAGTCGAGAATCGAATCCACGTGGCCGCCGTCCGCTATTCGGGGGCAGTTCGAAGGGCAGGTACCGACCTCGAGAGAAGAAGAAGAGCCTGGAACTCCTACCAGGCAGAGATCAGCGACGAGGACTCAGACATCGGAAGGTGAAGAAGGAATAAGGAGCTCAACCACCTCGCCCTCGAGAGGAAGGAGGCCCAGGATGCCGAGTCGGCCTCCAAACAGCGCCCTC